CCATATCAGTTTATCCTGCTCAACCCTTAATGAAACACCTGTATGCACAGAACTCAAAACCCCACAGGTTGCATGCGGACTCTCCGGCCCTCTTGTATATTGTTCTTTTCCTATTGTGCTTTTTCAGCCTGAGATGAAAATATCTCTGGCCAATGTGAAGAGACAATAGTGCTAAGGAAGAACATAACTCATAGGAAAATCTATAAACGTCTTTCAAAGGAAGGTCTCATTCAGCCATGCTTGCACAACTGACTTTACATAATCCATTCTACCACTGAGCTACATCCCCAGACCTTTTTATTTTGAGACAGCATCTCATTAAGCTGTCTAGGTTAGTCTCAAACTTGAGACTAATCTAGACAGGGCTAAGGGACTATCATTGACTTCTAGGTCTGGTCCACTGTTTATCTGTTTTAAATTCTAGAAGATTTAGGGTTCTAATCTTTGGTGGTTTATTTATTTGTGTTTTTAGAAATAAAACATTACTTCACTGCAGGGCACTTTTGTGTGTGTTTTGATATAAGAACCTGGACATGAATTTCAGATTTTGCTTTCCTGCAGACGGTTTGCCCTGCCAGGGATCGGGGAGGGCGGGGGGAACAACATTTTAGCCGCTTCACTTAGCACATTAATCGGCACAAGGAAAAAACAAGTGTTGAACTTGATTTAATTAGCAGAGTGTAAAGGAAGGAGGACCACTCCAGGTCCAAGCGGGGAGAAGAGGCAGACAAAGCCAAGAAGCAGGGCTGGCCAGGGTCCACTCAGGAGGACCAGGCTCACTGCCAGACATGTGACTGGCTTTACAAAGGAGGCATGACCGCAAGCAAAATGTAAGTAAAAACACTATACTGGGAACCACTTGTGATTAAGAGTGTACTCCCAGAAAGTAAGCTTTCACAGAAGAAAAAAGAATCTAACCGTGGCAAAAGAGAGAAAGACTAACCACTTCCCCCTCCAGCTAATGGCCACATACACTGCTGATGCAGGCAGGAGAGAAAGCAGAGACAGGGAGACAGACACCGATTGGCCAGTTTGACTCATCTCTGCCCTTTCTCTGCGGCTCTTCCAACATTTTTCAGTGCATGACCTGCTGGTTTTCTGCAGGGTGAGGGGGCATTGTATTCCTTCCTTAATATAAATGCAGTACCTGTCATGGGTTAGCCAATCATTAAGCCCTAGACATTCGAATATGTATGAAAACATCACTCTCTCAAAGATCTCACAGCATGGTCAGGGAAACAGGAGAGAAAACAATTATAACATCATGTGAAGGGCCAGAATGGAGAATGTACAAATTATGAGGGCATGAAAATGCACGCCTACTTTCCCCTCTGGTAAGAGCTGACCTTTGCCCTGAGACTTGAAGGCTAAATGAGAATGATCAGGAAGAAAGAAGGTGAGTAGGACACCTCAGACAGTAGGTGCTATGTGTAGGAAGCCTACACTCAGAACAGGGCAGGGCCAGCTTCTGCTGAAGCTGGGGCCTCAAAGCTCAGGAAACTGGCAGAAAAGAGGCTACCAAGGAGGGTCAGCTGGTGGGCAAGATCCGAGCTGATAGGCAACCATCTCGGCAGTGTAGTAGCCCTTCCTCCCTCAATCCTTAGCCATCCCTCCATGTCTCCAGCACCACACACAGATGCAAGAAGTCTTTCATCCAGAAAACAGTCCTCTACCTGTGTTGCTCCTCAAGTGTTTCTAGAACTCTAAGCAGTGAGCAAGGATGCAAATGGCCAAGTACCCTAAATCAAAATATGCAGAGGATATGATAATACTGTGCTGGATGCTGCATTCCTTCCACTTCATCCTCCCAACAACCCAAAGAGGCAAGTGACAGCGTTAACTTACAAGCCAGGACTCAGGTTCACAGCCTGAGTGATTCACACTGACAGAGCTGGGATCTGAACCCACTGTCTGGCCTGGAAAGAAGTGGCAAGGTTAAGACAGAGGAAACAAGAAATGAAAGAGGTAAAAATAAAGCAAAATAGGAATGAGGATTATTCTTTGTGGTGAGGGCAAAAAACATAGACTTCCTGACCATTGAAGGGAGCTAGATCTGCACAAAATGAAAGAACTGGGGGTAGAGAGGACAGGGGTCCCAGGTCTGCTGTATCAGACCCTAAATTCAAGGAAACTGGTATGGAACTGGCACAGTATATGAGCACTGCAAGGAGCCATCACGAGCACCTAATCAATGCCTCTTTTTTTTTTAAATATCTTATTATTATTTTTTTTTTTAGTGGTAAATGTACACAATACCTTTATTTTATTTATTTATTTTTATGTGATGCTAAGGATCAAACCCAGGGCCTCACACGTGCTAGGCAAACGCTCTACCACTGAGCCACAACCCCATCCCGAGCCTCAACCCCAGCCCATCAATGCCTCTTTTAATAAGAAAACTGAGACCAAAGGGGAAAAATGGATGTGTCACAGGCAATAGAATCCAGGTCTCTCCTCCTCCACACTAATGTTTCTGCAGTACAGTGGCCACTCATTCTTCTTCTGCTAATAGTATGCTATGCTTCCTCTGAGGAAGCCCTTTGCCTCTTTGAGCCTTCACACTTTGGGCAGGGTCTACCCAAATCTCCCAACGAAATCCACAAATACTAATTTCATAGGTGTTAAGAGAGGGTCGCAGTTAGATGTAGGGCTCCACAAAGACATGCAGGGTTAAGAGGAGGGTCCTTCTTTCTCTTCCACTGGAGTTGGCCCGTCTGGGGCTTCCCAGCCATGATTGTCAGGGAAAAATCTGCATTCTCAGAAAGAAGCAAGAAGGCAGACAAGTGAATATGTTCCTCAGCTTTCCACTACTGCAACAAATACCAAAGATAATTAACTTAGAAAGAGAAAAGGTTTTGGCTCAGTTTGGGAGGTTTCATGATCTACTGGCCCTGTTGCTTTGGAGCCTGTGATGATGTTACTGCTATTTACCAGTGAGGAGTCCTTGCTTCCCCGAATGCTGAAGTAAAACACCAGAGAAGCATGCTGAGGCAAGTGTAGAGTGGAAAGTAAAAGCTTTATTAAAGGACAGCAGAAAAGACTTCTCCCCAGAAGAAGAGAACCTGAAAGGAGGGGGAGGCCTTCCCTCTTTTATAGCTAAGGTCTTCTTTTACTTTCCCCACATCCAAGTCCTTTGTTTCCCTTTATCCTGCAGTGATAGTCTGCAGGTAGGAAGGCTCAACAGGTGGGAGATAAGTGGGCTGGAGGAGTAATCTGGGCAGGAAGGGCCTGGGGCAGTTTTTGGATTAGTTCCCTGTTTGCTGGGAGCTGTTTCATTAACAGTTTCTTAGGATGGGTTCTGGGCCTTGGGGACATTAACATTTCAATTTCCCCAAGTGCTGCTCTGATTTCCTGGACTCCATTCTCAATAATGGCCTCCATTTTCTTTACTTTACTCAATATTAGACCAATTTACCTAACTATACTAACTACCTATCTTTAAATCTGGCTTCAGTGAGGCAGCAAACCCACTCACTTCATGCCTGACAAGTGAAAACAGAGGAAGAAGAAGGGGCTGAGGTTCCATTATTCCCTTTAAGAGTACACGTCAATTATCTGAAGACCTCTCACTAGGCCGCACCTCCCTACCGCCCCCAGCTGGGGGACCACCCCTTTAACACATGGGCCTTTGAGAGGCATTCCAGATGAAAACTCTAGCACAGGGGAAACTAGATCTAAGTGGCACTGTTTTAGCCACGGTGTCAGGCTGTGCCTTTTTTTTTTTTAACCAGACATCCCCCTTTTTCATTCTGCATTTTCCTCCCAGTCCAGATGCAGTAGGTTCAAATCCCCAGGGTCCACCATTTACAATGTGTGTCATTCCCGGATTAAAAAAACGTGGCATTTATACACAATGGAGTATTACTCAGCACTAAAAAATGACAAAATCATGGCATTTGCAGGGAAATGGATGGCATTAGAGCAGATTATGCTAAGTGAAGCTAGCCAATCCCTAAAAAACAAATGCCAAATGTCTTCTTTGCTCTGAGGAGAGCAACTAAGAACAGAGCAGGGAGGAAGAGCATGAGAAAAAGATTAACATTAAACAGGGACGAGAGGTGGGAGGGAAAGGGAGAGGGGAGGGAAATTGCATGGAAATGGAAGGAGACCCTCATTGTTATACAAAATTACATATAAGAGGATGTGAGGGGAAAGGGGAAAAAAAAACAAGGGAGAGAAATGAATTACAGTAGATGGGGTAGAAAGAGAAGATGGGAGGGGAGGGAAGGGGAGGGGAGGGGGGATAGTAGAGGATAGGAAAGGTAGCAGAATACAACAGTCACTAGTTTGGCAATATGTAAAAACGTGGATGTGTAACCGATGTGAGGTAAAAATGGGAGTTCATAACCCACTTGAATCAAATGTATGAAATATGTCAAGAACTATGTAATGTTTTGAACAACCAATAAAAAAATAAATAAATTAAAAAAAAATGTGTGTCATTCCCTGAGCTTGTGTCCTCATCTTTAAAATGGGAATAACATCAACACCTACCTTTTTTGAGTTGTGGAGAGGAAGCACTCACGTGTTAATATTATTAACTATGTTAGCTTTAATTAGATTGTCACTGGAAACACAGTTTGAGCAACACAGTGACCTAATGTTGACACCACGACATGCTATAGTCCCAAGGTCACGTTTTTAGGATTCCTCTCCTGCAGCGTAAAGCCTTTAGTCTGTGTGCTAGAGGGCTCCATTTCTGCTCCATGGAACCCACGCAGTCACCGGCTGCCAGCCTTCTCCTCCTCCCGCGGGGGCGGCGCCCACACGCCGGCGCTCCTCCGGTGCCTGCGGCGGGTGCGCCCAGACTCCCTCCCGACCCGCCCCCTCTCCTCGCCTGCGGGCCCCGCGTCCACACAGCCTGCTCCGCTTCTGCGGCAGGGTCCGGGGAGGCGGCGGGCGGTCAGCCCCCACGGGTGTAGACCTGGAGCTTGCTAGAGTGGACTCTGCCCGCACCGACCCGCCGCGACCCCGGAAGAGAGAGAGCGCGCGACCCTCCGACCCCTAAACCTGCTCCAGGCTGCGCGCAGCAGCCAATAGCGCGCTCCTAGGCCGGTGCGTCATGGCGAGATTGGCCAATGAGTGCGGGCCTGGCCGCCGCTTCCGGCCCGCCCTCTCGCCTGCGGCCTGGGCAGCTCCGACCCGCTAGCCCAGCCGCGGAGCATCCACTGCAACCCCCCCTGGCCGGGCGCCGGCCCAGGTAAGCGCAGTGGCGCAGGGTCGTGGGCACTCGAGTCCCGGCCCCTCGGGGAAAGTCGGGCCGCTGCGACCCCGCATCGGCTGCGTTTGCCTGGACACTTGAAGGGGAGGGAGGGATGTACCTGTGCTCTTTCCTGCACACCTGGAGGGCGCCGCCCTGTCCCGGCGCGGGGAATTCGGGATATGCCGAGGTGCCAGCCGAGGGGCAGTTTCAGAGGACGCCCCCACTCCGGCCTTTGGACTGAGTGATTTGAGAAAGAGATCGCTGGAGCCTCGCGGTTTTAGAGAATGGAGCTTCTAGGGGCCTGTCTAACCTTCTCACTGGGCAGCGGTGGGAGCAAATCTGCTTGTGATGGGATTAACTGGGCAGATGGTCAGGGCCCTGCTTCCCGACATATGCTACTGGTGGCAGTGCAGGGGACCACCTGTCGTTTAAGTGCAGGAAATGGGATGAAAGCCAGGCCGACTCAGGGCACCACCTGCCTGGTGAAGCTGGGTGGACCCTGTTCTTCAGGAACAATGAGAGTTCTGTTGCTTCCTCCCACCTTTTTGGACCCTGATATCACTTTTGAGCAGTCTCTGCGCTTGGCAACCAGCAAACTGCATTGGTAGCCCAGTACGCACCAGGTTAGAGTGTCAATTTAACAGAAAAAAATAAGCAGGAAACTCTTCAGGAAGGCTCCTAAGGCAGCTTCAGAAGAGGTGAATGCATGGAGATCTTTCTTGTTTTGTGTCCCTTCTTCGATCACTTCTACCCCCAATTGCCTTGGGTACTTTTGGGTCTCTGAAGTCACCTGTGTATAAACTGAGACAGAAAAGCAGATGGCTTTGAGGGTGCAGACTGACTGAAGGTCTAGCTCAAATTCATTTTGTAGTTCTTGGTGAGTTGAAGGCTGCTTCTTGGGTAGATATGCACTCCATTGCTCCACTTCTACAAAACAAAGATGCCCCAGGATTTCAGAATGGTAACTGCTCCAAATCCCCTTCAAGGACCCCATGACTCAGGACAGGTTGCCTGGGCATCTCACAGCCAGAAAGTAGCATGTGAGGAGTTGGGGGTGCTAGAAACAATTGACAGAGGCAGAAAGGAGGTGTGGCTGACCAAGGATATTTACCCCATGTCAACTTTAGCTGGGTAGTGACTGCTGTCTGGGTCTCCATTTAGAAGGGAGTTTGTAAACACAACCCCCACTCTTTCTTTTATCTGCAGCGAAGTATTCTTCCATTAAATGCCCATAAGGTTCAATTATGCCTGGAAGGAAATTACTGCTTAGTCATTTATCTAAAGGAAAGTATATCAAACACAAGTCAAAGTCTCTGTTCTTTGAGCTTCACCTGCAGACTCAGTCTGACTTGGCTGGTTGCTTACATGTTGAATTGTGAGCTATCTTTGCAAACAAAATTGTGTTAAAATGACACCATAGAAACTGATATTTTTTTCCATTTCCCTCTTACTATTTTATTTATTTTTTAAAAATTTTTTATTGGTGCATAATAATTGTACACACTGAAACTGACTTTTTTTTTTTTTTTTTTTTTTGGTACTGGGGATTGAGTTCAGGGGTACTCGACCACTGAACCACATCCCCATCCCTGTTTTGTATTTTATTTAGAGACAGAGTCTCACTGAATTGCTTAATGTCTTGCAATTACTGAGGCTGGCTTTGAACTCGAGATTCTCCTCTCCTGTGTCAGCTTCCCAAGCCTCTGGGGTAACAGGCATGTGCCGCGCACGGCTGAAACCGACAGTTTTAAAATAAACTTTTTACCAACATTTTGTGATGAAGATTTTCAAATATATAGCCAAATTGAAAGAATTAAACAGTGAATGTCCCCATACCCACGTCTTATTCATTATACTGTTGACCCTTTACTTGCTCTATTGCATGTCTGCCCACCAATTGTGACCTTACTATTTATTTATTTACGGTACCAGGAATTGAACCCATAGGCGCTTAACCACTGAGCCACATCCCCAGCCCTTTTTATTTTTTATTTTGAGACACTGTCTCACTCAGTTGCTGAGGTTGGCTTTGAACTTGTGATCCTCCTGCCTCAGCCTCCCGAAACACTGGGAATATAGGCAGGAGCCACTGTGCTCAGCTGTGACTTTACTTTTTAAGTACTTTGCTTTCCTAGAGTAGTTTTGTCTAGGCTCAGGGAGTTGGCAGTCTATATTAGTAGGTGGAGGCGTTTATCATTAAACGGTTGAACACCCACCCTCTAAAGTGCTGATAGAGAAAGAGAAGAGGCCCAAGGCTCAGGCCCACTGGAAAGGAACTTGATTTTTTTTTTATTTTTTAAATGAGATGAGAGATAAGTGGCAGTTTGTGGTAGTAAATGCCAAGTAATAAGATGATATTAGTAACACTGTTGAGTTCTTGCTGGGCACTGAACGATGTTGATCATCCACGCTGTGCCTGTATGTAATTCTCACAAGGTAAGTAGGTCACTATTCCTTTCTGACTTTTCTGCATTAGCAAATCAAGTTGCAGGCAGGTTAGGTAACTTTTTTGGTACTAGAAAATAATGGAGTGAGGACCCGAATCCTGGCCATCTGGGTGCAGGCAGTTCTGAACACTCTTCTTAGTCATTGTAAAGGTATCCGAGAGAACCTTCCTGCCTGACCAAGGAGGAAGGGTGAGGTGGCCTGGGGCCACCATGGGTCCTGACTCAGGCATCTGGACACCAACACAGTTTTCAGCTGGCTCCAGAGGGCTGGTGTTCTGATTTGTCTGTGTGTCTGGCAGACACTGGCGCCCCTGGGCTTGAGGAGGTCGGCGGTTCTATGGGTCAGCTCTGTCTCCCCAGGCTTGCTTCGCAAGGCTGATCAGTCCCTTTCCTGAGCTCTGCATCTACTTCCTGTCATGGGTGTTTCCAGGAACTTGGCTTCTGTTCTGCCTCCCATTTCCTGTTCCATATCCCCTCCATCACTTCCTTCTCAACCTTCACTCTTCTTCGTGTTTGTCAGACCCACTGTGTTCCAGAAGAGCCTGTGTTGCCCACGGCAGATGCTCCTGTTTCAGCATGTCCTATCTCCAGGCATCTCTACAATGGGGGTGCCTCTGGCATGCTGTAGGGGTGGGACAGCAGGGCCCAGCCTTGACCACCTAAATAAACCTGTCTCCTCATAGCTCCAGTTTCCAAACCCCATGGGAGGTAAGCTTGTCTTTGGCTTTTCTCTCTCCTGGCCTGAGGACAGTGTTCTCTGGTTGGATCTGGGAGCCACCCAGTCAGACAGGGCCCTTTGTGGTGACTCCCTACTACCCTCAGGCCTCAGCCCCTCACTGCATGTTTGGCTGCACTGCTCTGGCTCTGTGGCCCTGGTAGGAGGAAGCCTGCTCCTGCCAGAAGCTAGAACTCCAGGAATTACCCCCAGGAGCAGCAGCCAAGGGGTGGGGGGACAGTCAGTGGCAGATCTTGGCCACCCCAAACAGAGCTCTCTGCTTCCTGGCTGTCTTATTCTGGGCTGCTTTCTTTTGCCACACCCTTCCACCATGATCTCTGTCTCACCTGGGGCCCAGAGCTATGGACATGGCCAACTTCTGAGTGGCCATCACTTCTTCTAAGTGGACTGCACTTTTGAAACCATGAGCCAAAACATCTTTCCTCCTTTAAAAAAAGAAAGAAAGAGAGGAAAGGGGTGGAGAGTGGCAGAAGAAGAAAGGAAGAAAAGGAGGGTAAGAGAGGACCTTTGGGTCCTAGAGTTCACAGAGTCACCTGGCCCCTACCCATTAGCACTGACCTAAACATTGGCAAGTCCAGGCATGGACATGTTAGCTTTCGATGCCACTAGAAAGTGATGGACCCAGGACCTGAATTCTGGCGGAAGAGTAGGAACATAGTGACCTTCTTACCTTGTGAGAATTCAGTCAGATGATACAGGCACAGGATGGATGACGACATTGTTGAGGACCCCGCACAGCTCTGGCTAGGATAGCCAGGCTGTGTGGACACCCTTCACCAAACCCAGATAGGAGTGTCACAGTGAGAGCAGCTCAGGGGAGGACAGGATTCCACCAAATCTATACACTTCATTTATTCTTTTGAAAGAATATAGTTTCTGAAGAGACTGTAACAGAACTGGAAAGGGTCTTGATTTGGGGACGTACGCACATGGATATTACATATTTTTTTCTTATACTTTTCTGTCTGTTTGAAAAAAAAATCCTCATAATGAAAAGGAAGAAAAGGCAAAGAAAGAAAAAACCGGTCCACGCTGGAAGCGGGGCTCTGCTTCTGATCTGTGGGGTGAACACCAACTCCTCCCTGCGCCTCATGGAGCCATCTGTGGCACGAGGCCATCTGTTGAGGGCTCCCAGGTCCTGCCTGGACTGGGGACCAGGACACTGACACTCTCTCTTTTGCCACCCGTTTTCCTCCAGCCGCCGACACCATGCCCACTTCAGTGCTGTGGGCGGTGGACCTCTTTGGGAGAGTATACACTCTGTCCACGGCCGGCCAGTACTGGGAACTGTGCAAGGATGCCCAGCTGGAGTTCAAGCGGGTCAGCGCAGCCACGCAGTGTTGCTGGGGCATTGCGTGCGACAACCAGGTCTACTTGTACATGTGCGCCAACGATGTCCCCATCCGCCGCCGAGAGGAGGCCTATGAAAATCAGGTAGTGGCCCATGGAGGGCCGTAGCTAAGGTTGTCGGATTCCTGGGTTATCGGTTAAAATGAACCAAAGAAGAGACAGAGGCCCCAGCCTCCCCACCAGTCCCCATATTTGTTTTCTTCATTGTACTTAAAATCCACGTATTGGGAGCTGGTGGGGCTGAAGCTCCTGTTGTCTTTGCCAGAACAGACTGGGTCTGCAGGAGGGTGGGCTCTAGCAGTGTTGAGAACCACCGGAGCCGGGCTGGCTCGTGCCTTTTATTTCCTTCCTCTTGGAGTACTGTGGCTGTGGCTGTGGGTGGGTTCTCTCCAGTGGGGCCATGCTGATGCACTGACTTTTTTTTTTTTTTTTTGGTACCTGGGTTTCAACCCAGGGACATTTAACTACTAAGCTACCTCCCAGCCTTTCTTTGTATTTTATTTAAAGACAGGGTCTCACTGAGTTGCTTAGTGTTTTGTTAAGTTGCTGTGGCTGGCTTTGAACTTGGGGTCTTCCTGCCTCGGCCTCCTGAGTTGCTAGGATTACAGGCATGTGCTACCACGTCTGGCCCTCATGCACTGACTTTTTTTGGAGGGTACTGGGGATTGAACTCAGGGGCACTTGGCCACTGAGCCATACCCCCAGCCCTGTTTTGTATTTTATTTAGAGCCAGGGTCTCACTGAGTTGCTTAGTACCTTGCTGTTGCTGAGACTGGCTTTGAACTCAGGATCCTCCTGTCTCAGCCTCCCCAGCTGCTGGGATGACAGGCATGCGCCACCATGCCCAACTTGACACACTGACTTTTGATAGAGTGGCAGGAGGTCCTTGATTCCCGAGTCCCAGTGCACACCTTTCACTAACCTTCCATGCCAGAGATAAGGGGGGGAGGGTCTGCTGGGGAGGGACCTGTTGGACCTAGAGGGGGCCCTGCCCACCTGGGTCCCCTCCTGGCAGGCTCCGGCCTAAGGCCATCTCTGTGTCTCTGGCCTCAGCGTTGGAACCCCATGGGTGGCTTCTGCGAGAAGCTCCTGCCAAGTGACCGCTGGCAGTGGAGTGACGTGAGTGGGCTCCAACACCGGCCGCTGGATGGGGTGGCGCTACCCTCGCCACACTGGGAGTGGGAGTCAGACTGGTACGTGGATGAGAATTTTGGAGGGGAACCCACCGAAAAAGGGGTAGGTGAACTCAGTACCCATCGTGGCTGCCCCTGGGGGAGGGATGGTTGGTCCCAGCCTGTCCCCGTAGCGCTGCTCTTCCCAGTGGTGTCTGACCCCTGCTTGTGTGGGGTGACCTGCTTCAGGTCCTGCTCCCTCCTCTCCCTCCCCACCTTCCCTGGCTCTTCAGATTACTTCCCCCCGAGCCTTACAGAGTCCCCACCGTGGCATTTCAGGGGTGGACGTATGCCATTGACTTTCCCGCCACCTACACGAGAGACAAGAAATGGAATTCGTGCGTGCGGCGACGGAAGTGGATCCGGTACAGGAGATACAAGTCCCGGGACACCTGGGCCAAGGTCCTCCTGACTGGGCATGGTGTGGGCATGGGTTCTGGGGACAGTGACCCCTGGCAGGAGGGTCAAGGAAGCCTCATCCCCAAACCCCTGCCTGTGCACAAGGGGACACCGTGCCCTCCCTGGGTCCTTCCTTGGAGCTGTTTCCAGTTCCAGAACCTCCTGCACCATATATCCCTTCATCTGGGAGATGGCCACGCAGGGAGCTAAGCCAGGCCACAACCCAGGAGCTCAGAGAACCGCCCCCCCCAGGCTTCCTCTCCCCCACCAAGGGAGGTACCGGAAGCTTCAGTGCTGTTCTCCTGACCCAAAGGAACCTCCAACTCAGGGACAGAGGCCTGGCCTCAGCGTTCACAGGTGCCAGCCCAGCCCGCTGGCCGCTGGGCTGGGAGAAGCCAGGAGAGTAGGGTATCTGTGGAGGGTTTGCACCTGCAGGGCTGTGTTCTGCCACCGGCCCCATTCTAGAGAAGAGTCACACAGTGAGGTCACTGGGAAGCCAGGGCTAAGACCCCGTGGCATATCTGCCTTTCACGGGGGAGCAGCAGTGCCATTCAGGGATGGCCTAGGCCTGGTGACAGATAGGGCAGGGAAGAGGGGACCCAGGGCCAGGGGCCTGCAGTGCTGTGGCTGCCTCCTTCCTGAAGTCGGGCTGTTGTGGGCCAAGCTGAGAATGGAAATCATGTGCTGGGAGTCGGGGACAGGCAGGAGACGGTGCTATGTGGGGCCTGCCCAGGTAGTGACAGCCACTGCTTCTCACCTCCTCATTTCAGATCCCCTCAAAGGATGACCCCAAGGAACTCCCTGACCCCTTTAATGACCTCTCTGTCGGGGGATGGGAGATTACAGAGGAGCCTGTGGGCCGCCTGTCAGTCTGGGCTGTGTCTCTGCAGGGAAAGGTAAGGCCACACCTCTCTGTGTTCTGCATGGGAAGCACCAGGGAGGCCAGCCTGGGGTGTGACAGAGGCTCCCTGAGGTGGAGGAAGGAGGGATGCCCTTGGGACCTCCTACCTCTGTTCCCTGGAGCCGAGGCTTGGCTTGCTGAACAGGCTCCCCACAGGCTCCCTTCCTGTGCATCCTGTCTGTGGGTCCCTGCGTCTCACTATTCCCAGAAACCTCTGGTCTCCATCCCATGCCTGGCCCTGGCTTGTCCTCCAAGCCCACCTTGGGCTCAGGTGCCAAAAATGTTGTCTCCTTAGGCAGATTCTGGGCCCCCTGCCAGCGCCTTTGTGGTGCCTCCCACAGTCACTGGGACCATCACGCCTGGGTGGGTGTGTGGGCAGTTGGGATGGTGGGTGGGTAGGTGGAGAGTGGGCAGTGGATGGATGGTGGGTAGGTGGTAATATGCAGGTAGATGGTAATATGCAGGTAGATGGATGGTGGGTGGATGAGTGGCTGGTAGTTGGATGGATGGATGGTAGGTGGGTAGATGAAAGGATTATGGGTGGGTGGACAGGTAGGTGGTGGGTGGAGGGATGGTGGATGAATGGATGGATGAGGGGAAGACATGTAGATGGATCATGGTTAGGTAGGTGGATGGATGGGTAGTTGATCGTTGGACAGATAGGTGGTGGGTGTGTGGGTGGATAGATGTTGGGGGGCAGATGTTTAGAGAGAGGATCCTTTTCTCAGGGAGTTTGTAAATTAAGCAAAAGAATTAAACCCACCCCAGCAGCAGCAGCATCACAGATGGTCCCGAGCAAAAAGCACCCAACACTTTTATCATTTTCTTTTATCATTTTAGATTATATTTTATGATTGTGCAGTAATTCTTACCACAAATTGACCACAAGTTTCCTGCTGGCTTGGGAACAGTCAAAGCAGAGTATTTTTAGCAGGCTCACCTCTGGGGTCATGTTGGGCCCAGGTTTAGGTTAACCACAGGTGTTTCCTCTGAGCCCCGTTGAATGGTGGTGATGAGAGACCAGGCAGGGTGAAGGAGCAGGGACCCTGCCCACTTGGATGTAAAGAGTGGGGAGGACAGGGGCCACAGAGCAGTGTTTATGCCTCAATGGCAGCCACGAGCCAGAGTGGCTGACCACTTCTGTGGTCTGTAAGAGGTGGCACAGGGACCCTGTGCTCCAGGAAGAACGAGGGAGGCAGGTGTACCCTGAAACCACTGGTGGTGGAAGGGGACTTCCCAGTCCTCGTCCTGCAGGGTCTGTTGAAAGCCTGGGTGGGCAGGGTTGGGGGACTGGGATCCCAGTCTGAACACTGCTCTTGGAAGGAATCACCAGCCTTCCCTGGACCCAGCAGAGGTGTACAGCTTCCTCCAGATGAAGTGCACCTAATAGTTTGGACGACATGCAGGAGTTGCTCAGTCTTAACTGTTCAGATTAAGGAGCAAAAGAAGTGGGCATTGTAGATTTTGTTTAAACTGAACTGGGGGGTTTTCCTGCTGTCCACTGGGACTCTGGCTTCCCCTAGAGACCAGTGTTCTGGGAGCATATCACCACTAGGGGGCACAGGACACCCAGGCCAGCTGCACGCCTGAGGCTGGATGGTAGCGGGTGCTGGGTAGAGGGTTCTCACAGGCAGATGAACAGAACAGGCCCATCCCCCAGGGCCACTGAAATCCAGGGTTTACAAATTTTTTCACCACGTTGGAGTCATTAACTTCACCAGCAATGAAGAATTGGGAGGGAAATATATACCATCAGATATGTGGGCACACGAGAGATCCCCGTGTGCCACCTATGTGAGTGTGCCGAGATGCTGATGCGAGTGCCGTGCTCTGCTCTTCCAGGTGTGGTACCGAGAGGATGTCAGCCACTCCAACCCGGAAGGCTCCTTGTGGTCCCTGGTGGACACCCCCGGGGAGGTGGTCCAGATCAGCTGTGGGCCCCATGACCTCCTGTGGGCCACCCTCTGGGAGGGGCAGGCCCTGGTCCGGGAAGGAATCAACAGGAACAGTCCCAAAGGTGGGTAGCTCAGGACTGGCCCTGTGCCCCATAATGGGAAGTGGGGTGAGGGCGCTTACTCCCCAGCGTTTTGGCTGATGGAAGTGCCTGGGGTTTCTTTTGGGGTTGATAGGAAGTTTCTGGTCCATAGTGGAGCCTCCTGGGTCTGAAAATGGGATCATGCACATCTCCGTGGGCGTCGGCGTGGTCTGGGCTGTCACTAAAGACCGGAAAGTAAGATGGGGAATGCTGCGGGCTGGGGGTGCCATTTCATGTTGAAGGTCAGGATGGTTCAAGCCCTTGAGCATAAATCTAGCATCAGCCAAGCACTGTGAAACTGGCGCATCCTGAGATGTTCCTGCATCTCTCCCCTCGCCCACAGGGGATATTGCGATGCAGAACAACTACATGTATCACTTTAGGGGCCCAGCATTTCAAATAACCAGAAGCGGATCTGCCAGAGCCCCGTGAGCTGGATGCCTGGCCTTTCCTATCCAGTGCTTTTATTTGTATTTTATCAGTGGCAAGCCCAGTAAGGTTAGCCAGTTTCAGATTACTTTCATGATTTCTTTCCAACCACACATCAAGGGGAATCCCCTAGCACCCGGGAGTTTGGTGGCCCTCACATCTGAGTCTGTATCCCCAGGGCCCAGGGCCCCCAATCCTCAGGTTACGCCCAGCCTGAAAAAGTATAGCACTGTCCCCCCAGCATGTCCCAAGCACCCCACTTTCCACAGATCATGACTTCCAAGACTCTCACATTGTCCCCTTTAGAGTAAAAAAAGCAAAAATTTCATTTACATCAGAGTTTGTTCAGTCTTCAGACAAACATTTGACTGCTCATTTTCTTTGGGTCTTTAAGAGACATTTTAGATATTCTAGTGTATTTTTTTTCCTTTTGGCTACTCTTGCTGTGTTGCCTGGGTTCAAGCCGTCCTCCTGCCCTGGCCTCCCTCCCAGGTAGCTGGCACGACAGGTGCATCCTATTGCAGCTGATTCTCCAGAAATTTTTATAAGAGGGGTTTGAGGGTCTTTTCATGTAACCCTTCCCCTCCCCACCTCAGGAATTCTAGAACATGTGAGCGCTACTAGATCAAGATCCAGTGGGTCTGAGACTGATGGGGGCCCGTACAGGCCACCATCCATAGTGGGTGAGAACAGCCCTAGGGGACAGCTGGTCCGGGGTAGGGGTTGAGGATGACCACCAGGTGAGCTGTGGGGCCAGGTAGGCCTGGGGGAATTCAGTTCAATTTTGTAGCAATATATATATTTTAAAGAGAGAGAATTTTTAATATTTATTTTTTTAGTTTTCGGCAGACACAACATCTTTGTTTGTATGTGGTGCTGATGATCAAACCCGGGCCGCACGCATGCCAGGCGAGTGCGCTACCGCTTGAGCCACATCCTCAGCCCAATATATATTTTTTGAGGGGGTACTAGGGATTGAACTCAGGGGCACTCAATCACTGAGCCACATCCCCAGCCCTGTTTTGTATTTTATTTAGAGACAGGGTCTCTCTTAGTTGCTTAGTGCCTCGCTGTTGCTGAGGCTGGCTTTGAACTCGCGATCCTCCTGTCTCAGCCTCCTGAGCTGTTGGGATTACAGGCCTGTGCCACTGTGCCTAGCCTCAACTGTGTATATTTTTACAAGTCAACATGAAAAAAGTTAACATTAAAGAGACTATGTTGTATAACAGTAAAAGTAGACCCCAAATAGGGTATTTATTCTAAAAATGAATTTATAAAGAACTAGTTTTCCTAAAAGACTTTTTTCCGCATGCTAGGGCAGAGAATAGATGAGAAGCTACAGGACAGGGGAAGCAGAGGTCAGGTAGGATGGTGCCGAGAGCAGGGACACAGGGCAGGATGGGGGAGGATAGACGTGCATCAGCGTCTCCTTTCTCACCATGTGCCCTGCTCATTTAGAGCCCTGAGCCAAAGGTCAGATGATTCATTTGTTCTTCCTGAGCCTTAGGAAAAGCCCTCTGCTCCATGTCCTCCAGGGAGGCTATTTATTTTGGACTTTTCCAGGTATGGTTCCGAAGGGGTGTCAACTCTCACAATCCCTGTGGCACCAGCTGGATCGAGATGGTTGGCGAGATGGTCATGGTGAACGTGGGGCTCAATGACCAGGTGTGCTCACGGCCCCCGGGTCCCCCCACCCTTCCTGCCCCACATCTCACATCCTTTTCACTTACGGGCTCCTCACGCTTGATGCAGTGAGTCTCCTCCTTGGACGGCCCCGGGGACTGGCTCCCTCAGGGTTCTGGAGTCTCTATTTGTCCTGGAGTTACTTTCCTAAGGTCCCTCAGATCAGTGAGCCTGGATCTGCTGGGGTGTGTGTGTGTGTGTGTGTGACCCAGAGACTGGAAGGTGTCATTTAAAGATACTTGGGGGATCAGGTGGATGGACACAAAGCGGGGTTGGAATGGACCTCCAACTTTGACTCTGGACTCTGCTTCTCATGAGTGTTGTCCGTATCATCTGACAGTGTGGCCTCCTTATTAACAAATAGGTTTGGGTACTTTTTAAGATTCAAAGGGCACAGATCCTTGCTGTGAGGTGATTGACCCCGCCCCCACCCCTAAGAACATGGAAGTTCTCTTGGGGATCAGCTTCCCACCAGAGGCCACACTGAAGATAGTGTCATAGGCGGACCTTGCACCCCAGCACAGCCCCACTGTCTGTGGACCTTGTCACTCGAAGCTCCCAAAGCTCCTGGTCTGCCTAAGGTCGAGGAGCCAGGACTGGGGCCCTGCGTCCCCTGAGCTTGCTGCTGAGCTCAGCCCACCTCACCCCTGCGGGGCTCCTCTTACACACTGGACTTTTGCACACCCACCCCACCAACCTCCCCATCCCTAACACACATGCACACACCCACTGCACACCACGGGGAGGCGCAGCTCCTGCCTGCGTTTGCAGGTGTGTGCTTCCTTGGCTACCTGTCCTCCCTGCACACCCCCAGTCTACACCAGACTCCTCTGAGCAGCGTCTCTGTTCCAGGTCTGGGGCATCAGCTGTGAGGACCGAGCTGTGTACTTCCGGCAGGGCGTCACCCCCAGTGAGCTCAGTGGGAAGACATGGAAGGCTATTGTTGCCACCCGAGAGTGTGACCGGTCCCACTCTGGCAGCTCGTCAAGCCTCCTCAGGTGACCCAGGGGTGGTAGGGCATAGAAGTCAAACAAAGAATGACCACATGACCCAGTCAATTCACTCTTAGTTTTATAGCTAAATAATTGAAAACAAGTGTTCAAGCAAAAGTTTGTACAGGAATGTTTATGGAAGTATTAGTCACAGTGACCAAAAGATGGAACTAGCCCAACAACCAGCAGTGATTGGGCAATGAAAGAAATGGTGATCTGACACATGGCACCACAGGCATGAACATTGAAAACATGGTCCTCAGTGAAAGAAGCCAGACACGAAAGGCCACACGTTGGTCCCTTGGTTCAATGTATATGAAATGTCAGAACAGGCAATTCCATAATGATAACACGTTAGCCAGAGGAGTTGTGGGTAGAGGGAGCGGAGGATAGAGTGACTGCCTCGTGGGTACAGAGTGTCCATTTGGGCAATGAGAAAGTTCTGGAACTCAGAAGAAATGAGGTTGTACAACATTGTCAGTCCACTAAGTGCCACTGAATTGAATGCTTTAAAATGGTGTGTTTTACACAGTGAAAAAGATCCTCATCCCAGATCTTCACCCCCAGGCACACTGAAGTGATTGATCTGGGGGGAGGCCAGAAGCAGGGATTGTGCAGAGGAAGAGACAGGAGTTCAGGGAGGTTGTGACTCCTGAGTTCACGTAGGTGGTCACGGTGGGATAGCACCCCCCACGATGGAATGATGATCTCCCCTGCTCTGTCCCCAGTGCTGGCTGCTTCTTTGGTGATGAAGTGAGGGCCAGTAGTGACTCTGCATCCCACGACACTGACGTTTCTTCAGAAGTTGAGAGACGGGACCCCGAACAGCCTCTCCCTAAGGAGTCTTTGGACAATCCCCAGAACCCCAATGAGAGCTCAGCCTTGGACCCTGGGGCCAGCAGGACTGCAGAGTGTGATGTGGAGAATGCCTGCCCAGTGGTGGGCAGAGGGGAGCCCACTCAGGCCACTGGTCCCAGTGGGCGCCCAGCTGAGCTGCCCTGGACTAACATTGACCTGAAGGAGCCCAAGAAGGCTCCCAACCACTCAGCTGCTGGCCTCCCTGAACCCACGGGCCTCGCCTCCGTGGGGCTCTTCACCCTGGGCTTGGAGGAGCCCTATGGGGCGGATGACCACCTGCTATGGGCCTGGGTGTCAGGAGGTGGCTGCGCAGTGGAGGCAGGCTCCGTGCTCAAGTGGTTCACTGTCCAGTCTGGTAAGGGGCCCTGTCGAATCAGTAGGACCTGGTGTCCCAGGAGGTGCACCTGAGGGGAGTGGGCATGGATGAATTGGGGCTGGAGCAGGCCCATCGTCCTGCCTGAATGCCCAGGTCTCAGCAGTGCTGACCGAGCCCTTGGGTCAGTCTGTGGCCATCAGAGATCCACTGGGGAGGCCAGGGGAAGGAAGCCAGCAGCTGGGCTTCCCTGCCTTCTCCCGGTCCTCTCCTAATACTGGCTGGGGACAGTAACTTGCTCATGAGAGCAAATGGTGGGAGGAGGGCTCACAGGACATTCTACAGAGACTGGAGCTTTCTAGCAAGAAACGGCTGATTGGGGCGGGGGGCGGGGGAGCAATCCTGGCCTCCTGCCTACCTCGCTGTGGGCAGGGTGACACTGCGGCCTCCTGCAGGCCTGTCTCCCTCAGTGCAGACGCTGTCCCTGTCCATCACGCCAGCACAAACCGCCGCCTGGAGGAAGCAGATCTTCCAGCAGCTCACAGAAAGGACCAAGCGGGAGCTGGAGAACTTCCGGCATTACGAGCAGGCCGTGGAGCAGGTGGGGCCCAGCTGCCTTCTCAGCAGGCTTTTGTTGAGTCTCATCCCTGAGGTGGGGCAGAGGAGCATCAGTGGCTCTGTCCATGCCATTGCGGACACACAGCCTGGCTTCCAGGCCCCAGGATGGATCAAAGATCAGGAGATGAGGTCCTTTATTCACCCATCCTGAAGGACTTTCGTTGGGGCCTCACTGCCTTCAGGGCACTGTGTGGGTCCTGGGGCCCAGAAATGCAGGACCCCAGGAGGGAGCAGGGGGAGGTGAGAAGCAAATCCTCACATTCTACCCCAGAACCCCAAGTGCCCAAGGGTCTTGTGTTTTGTTGAAATGAGTCTGGAGAGAGCTGCAGGCACCATACCCTGCTCAATGGGGCCCACCTGGCATGGCTCACGCGCCCCCGAGGCAGAGCAGCGCCCTGCAAGGCCCAGAGATGGGCTGAGGAGGGAGGAACCTGGCTGCCCGAGACCGGCCAGGGCTCATCTTGTGCAGAAGCTTCCAGTCTGCATTCAAATCTGGGCCTCAGCTCAGGGCAAGCCATGTTTACATCACAGGTTTGATTCCCTGACACCGGCTCAGATCCTCCCTGAGCCCCAGTTTCCTCATCCAGAACGTGGTCTAACAGTGCCCGTCCCACTGGCTATGTGAAAACTAGGGCTCATATAGAGGCAGCTCAGATGGGGTCCAGTGCCTCATTGTGACTTGTCACCGATGGGAAAAGGGCCAGCTGGGAGGGTGGGGGTTGGGAACATTGGGCAGGAGCCCCTCATCACCAGAGCAGAGACTGGGACCCAAGGAAGCTCAGGGGTGCTGGGAGTAGGGGGCCCACACAGGCCAGGGGTCTGCGGGCCTGCCTGTGATGGTGTCCCTACTGTCCTGGATGCCCATGTGACAGTCAGTGTGGGTGAAGACCGGGGCCCTGCAGTGGTGGTGTGACTGGAAGCCCCACAAGTGGGTGGACGTCCGCGTGGCCCTGGAGCAGTTCACGGGGCATGACGGGGCTCGAGACAGCATCCTCTTCATCTACTACGTGGTCCATGAGGAGAAGAAGGTAACGGCAGGGGGCTGGGGCGGCATCATAAAGGGACAGGGTTTCCCAGAGAGGGGGTGCAGGGCAGTCCCCGGTGCTCACTCCAGTCTGGCCAGCTCACAGGGTGCTCAGTCTTACTCATGCCAGGGGTAGACTTGGGTGCCTCTGCATGTACGTGCATGTGCAAGCTCCTAGAGCCACTGTCCTCCCTCCAACAGCCATTTACAGTCAACTAGTTTTTTAACCGAGAAGTGAGTCTAGGGAAGATGTCCTCCTGACAGCTGCTATGTGCCAGGCAGTCAACACCCAAAAGGATTTCTTTGAAATGTCACTAAGGCCAGGCACAGTGTCCGCTCCTGTAATCCCAGTGACTCTGGAGGCTGAGGCAGGGAGATCACAAGTTCATGGCTAACCTGGGCAACTTAGTAAGATCCTGTCTCAAAAAAATAAAATGGAATGTAGTTCAGTAGTAGATCAACCCTGGGGTTCATCCCCTGTACTGAAAAAAAAAAATGTCACCAAAGCATTTGTTACAAAGTGAAGTTTCAGTACTGGCACCTGCTGGGCCCTGTGGCTGCCATTGAAACCAGCAGGCCAGGGAAGAGCTCTAGAATGAGGGTGGCCCATCCCTGCCCATGACCACAGTGGGGGTCCCTGCTGCTTGGAGCCCCAGCACTGCCCTGAGGCTCCTCTGTCCCCAAGGTGACAGCCTTGCCTTGTGCTCCTCTTCCAACAGTACCTTCATGTGTTCCTCAATGAGGTGACAGTGCTGGTCCCAGTGCTCAATGAGGCCAAGCACTCCTTTGCCCTATATACTCCTGAGAGGACACGGCAGAGGTGGCCCGTGCGCCTGGCTGCTGCCACCGAGCAGGACATGAATGACTGGGTGAGTGAGTGGGGGTCCCACGGGCCAGGGGATAAGGGGCAGCCAGGCCTCCGTCTACCCCAGAGTAACTGGCCATATCTCCACAACAGCTCGCCCTGCTCAGCCTGTCCTGCTGTGAGAGCCGGAGGGTCCAAGGCCGCCCATCCCCACAGGCCATCTGGTCCATTACCTGCAAGGGAGACATCTTTGTGAGTGAGCCCAGCCCAGACCTGGAGGCCCATGAGCACCTGCTGCCTTGTGACCAGATGTGAGTGGACCTGGGGCCTGGCCTTGCTCTTCCCCTGAGCACCCAGAACTTGTGGTTCCAGAAGTAGGGGTCAGGAAGACCTGGAGCCCATGCAGGGCCAGTCAGAGCCATGGCTGGTCTCCAGATCCCCACCCTGCCAGGCATTCAAGTATGGGCCCAGCACAGGTCAGTGCCACCCACTAGGCAGTCACAGAATGTCCCAGGGAACATGGAGTGAGGTGACCAGGCTTAGCTTGCACTCTGCAGGGGCTCCCAGGCCAGAGAAGCCAGACTTACCAGCCAGCGCACAGACTCTGGGTGCTCTGCCACCTCTAGCTCCTGCTGAGCCCCTGCACCCAGGCTGTGGAGGCAAAGGAGGGAGAATAATGGGTGGTCCTGGAGTAGAGCTGGGAGGTTGGGCAGTCAGGTGTGGGGCAGCTGGTGGTGTGTGGGAAGACGTGGGGCTTAGTGGCTGGGAGGCCTGGAGCAGGCTCAAGCTGGCTCAGGATGGCTCTTTGGGGGCATTTAAAGCCACAAGAGGGAATGAGGTCACTGAGTGCCATGGTGTGAACTGAGCCCTGAGAGGAATCAGTAGGGGACACTTCCTGATCAGGCTCTGGGCTCAGTTACTGCGGGTCACAGGGAGCCCAGAAACCCCTGCCATGGATGGGGGGATCCTGTATGCTCACTGAAGCCATGTGTGCCCCACACCGTCTAATGACAGGGATGTGGCCTCAGGCTGCAGGAAGCTGACCCAGCTGCTGGTCTTGCTATTGCCCCTGCAGATGGTTAGGCATTCCTGTCCTCTGCCATGACCTCAAGCCTGGCCACAGCCCCTCCCCATGCCCTAGCCTGCAGGTGGTGTCCACCCTTATCAGTTCAGGCCAAAGGTTGGAGGACAAGCCCCTGCCCAGAGTTCCTTGGCCCTCTTTAGTGTTGGTTAACACAAAAGGGGAGGCCAAGTGCTTTATCAGTTCTGCTGGATACAGGACTTGGAGAATACCTTGTCCACAAGAGGCCAAAAGACAAGGCCCAGGATACGTGGAAGGACAAACTGGACTGAGATGCCTTTTCGGCCCTCCAGGTTCTGGAGGCAGATGGGAGGCCACCTGCGGGTGGTGGAGGCCAACAGCCGCGGCGTGGTGTGGGGCATCGGCTACGACCATACAGCCTGGGTGTACACAGGTGGCTACGGTGGAGGCTGCTTCCAAGGTGAGGCGGCTTGAGCACCTGTGGCTGGCAGGACCAGCTCCCGGGCCCTCCTCCGAGCCTCTCCAGGTGTTCCCTCCTCTAATCCCCTCTGGCTTCCCTGTTGGTGCCAGGGCTGCTATCCCATTACTGACACTTGGCTAAGAGCTGGCTGACAGGTGACCTTCACCACTGCCAGCCTCCACAGAGGATAGATAGTTCAGGCCAAGCCACGGGGCATGAGAGTCAGAAGACCAGGCCTCGCCTCCAAGACGCCCTCCAAGAATGAGCAGAGGGTCTTGAAGGTTCTAGATACAGCTGCCAGGACCTCTAACGTGTTCAGCCCCTCGTGTACAGGCGAGACCTCAGGGTGCGCCAGGGCAGCTCCAGGACCCAGGCTCCCAGTGGCCCAAACTCTGAGTCCTGGTCGGCCTGTGGAAAGTGGAGGCAGAAGCAAATATGGAAACAGAACATTCCACGCCACAGCCCTCCACGCCACAGCCCTTGTGCTGTGGACAGAGCATGAGGTGGAGTGTGGGAGGGGTGTGCGCGGGAGGTTCTTCTCTTTGAGGCTGTGCAACCCCAGAATAATCATGTCCCAGACAAGACACCCAAGCCAGACAGGCCCTGGGAGGCTCACTCAGCAGCCTGCTGACCCTCTCAGCTGCCTGGGTCCACCCCGCTCCCCACCTTATCTCTGAGTGCCTTTTGGAGCTTCAGAGGGAAATCCAGGCTTCCAGGCAGGCTGGGGCCTCAGGACCGTGGGGCCTCCTCTCTCCCCAGGCCTGGCCAGCAGCACCAGCAACATCTACACACAGTCGGACGTGAAGAGTGTCTACATCTACGAGAACCAGCGCTGGAACCCCGTCACGGGCTACACCAGCAGGTGAGTGGCACCAAGGCACCCTGCCTGGGCCAGGTCCTAGTTCTGACAAAACTGGACAGCCATGTCCAGTGTGGCCTCAAGTTGTGTCAGGTACCCTACGTAGAATTAGCTGAACATTACTGCTTGTGGAGGGTGCTTCTCTCGGTGTACTGGATGTTAAAACTCATTATTGAAGGGTATAACATTGGGCTGGGGTTGTAGCTCAGTGGTAGAGCTCTTGCCTAGCATGTGCGAGGCCCTGGGTTCGATCCTCAGCACTACATAAAAATAAATAAACAAAATAAAGGTATTGTGTCCAACTATAACTAAAAAATACAATACTTAAAGGATATAACATTAAAAGTTTGCAAAACATATGTATGTATTACATAGCATATGCACCTCTCACTGGGCATCCCACCACCAACACCAGGTCAAGAGGAGAACACAGCCAAGTCTCACCCAGCCCCCATCATCCCTTGTCCCTCTTTGCCAAACCGCAGATCCCAACTTCTAACAAGATGGTGGTCTTACTTGGGTGTTGGGATAGGTGGAGGTAGTGAGGGAATGTCTCTTCTTTCCAGAATTTGCTCTGTTAGTGGCAACTTTTTTTTTAGGGGGAGCGGTTACTGGGGATTGAACTCAGGGGCACTTGGCCACTGAGCCACATCCCTGGCCCTATTTTGTATTTTATTTAGAGACAGGGTCTCACTGAGTTGCTTAGCACCTCGCTGTTGCCGAGGCTGGCTTTGAACTCATGATCCTCCTGCCTCAGCCTCCTGAGCCACTTGGATTATAGGCATGTACCACTGCTCCTGGCTTAGCTGCAGTTTTTGATGTTTAAGTGTACATAATCTAGTCAGTCTTTTCCTTTATATTAAGTTAGAGTCTTTAAGAAAATCCTGTAGACAAGTCGTATAACCTGAGGTCACAACCGCTCATCTCTGTGGTGGTCATGTCAAAGCAGCCACAGGCAGCATGTCCCTGGAGGAGCACCAGAGTCTCCATCAAACTCACACACAGATGCCGAAATTTGAACTGTGTAACATTTCCACCTATCACAAAATGTGGTTTTTCTCTTAATCCTTTTCAACCACTTAAAAATGTAAAAATGTAAAAGTCAGCCTCAGCTTGGAGGCAGGTCCAGAGTGGGCGGTGTGCCTGGTTGGGCCCAGGGTCCTCATATGTTGACCCCATTCTACAGGCTGTCTTCCTCAGCCTGGGGAGTTGGGTCCCGAACTGTTATATATTCTATAGAGCGTGAGGTCGCATTGGTTTGGTTTGGTTTCCATTTATTCATGTTTGATTTAATAAAGTTTTATTTTCCCAAATGTTCAGTTGCTGTGACATCTTTGAACCTCTTTTTCCCCCTTGCAGTACTAGGGATTGAACCCAGGGCTCTCTACCGTGAGCTACAACCCCAGCCCTTTATTCATTTTTATTTTTTATTTTGAGCCGATGTCTCACAAAGCTGCCCAGGTTGGACTTGAACTTGCAGTCCTCCTGCCTCAGCCTCCTGGGTTGCTAGATCACAGGTGTGGCCATCATATTCCTTTTTCTCTGAGCTTCTTAGCAGCTGGGACACCTTCACCCTGGTGCTTCTTGTGTGAACCACTTTAGTGCAAGTGCTTTGAAAGCACTCTGTTAGTCCTTTATTGATGAGCTCTGAGAAGACCACGCTGGCCAGGGAGCCAGGTCTCCAAGACCACAGTGGGGACACGTGTAGCTTTCAGCTGGGAAATTCCTCCAAGTTTGTCACACAAGACTAGCTGATTAAATCCGGGTGCAGTGGTGCACGCCTGTAATCCCAGTGGCTTAGGAGGCTGAGGCAGGAGGATCACAAGTTCAAAGCCAGCCTCAGCAAAAGTGAGATGCTAAGCAACTCAGTGAGACCATGTTTCTAAATAAAATACAAAATAGGGCTGGGGATGTGGCTCAGTGGTCTAGTGCCCCTAAATTCAATCCTCAGTACTCCCGGCTCCCCTCCAAAAAGACTAGCTGATTCAGCTGATCCCAAATTTTGCCTTTAGACCACTTCTCTTAGATTTGTTCATAGGGTCTTTGCCTTTCTTTTCTTCTTCTTTTTTTTTTTGGTACCAGGAATTGAACTCAGGGACGCTTGACCACTGAGCCACATCCCCAGCCCTATGTTGTATTTTATTTAGAGACAGGGTCTCCTTGAGTTACTTAGCTCCTCACCATTGCTAAGGCTGGCTTTGAACTCAGGATCCTCCTGCCTCAGCCTCTGAGCCACTGGGATTACAGGTGTGTGCCACCACGCCCAGTGGCTGTGTGTCTTAGCTGACTGTCTTGGGATCTTCTTGTCTTCTGTGGGAAGTATCATGAATCCTAGAAAGCGGTGGTGGCTACTTGCAGCCTTGCCGAGATGTGGTTTTTTCACTTGAAATATTCACTTGAAATAAAACTCTCACTCTTTATTGAGAAATCTGTCCTTTTCCTCCTGGATTATAGGGTGTTTTTGTCTTAAATCAAGTGTCCGTGCGCCGCAGCCCCACCCCAAGCCTTTCTCTTCCACCCAGCTATTGGGTGTCCTGGGGCTAATCCTGCATTGACCCAGTTATGGTTCCTCTCAGGAGGTTTTCAGTGTTCCTAGGACAAATCCTCTCACTGTCTTTACTGGTCTTCTGACGATTCTTGAAGCAGTTCTAGATGAACTTGAGAAGTAGCTTGTCCCAGTCCTGGAAAACCCCGGGGAACCTAGAACAGGTGGTCTTGGATCCGAAGATCAGTTTGGGTTCAACAGCTGTCTTACAGTGTAAGTCTCTAAAATGTGAATGGAGGTCACCCTCCATTAATCAAGTACTTCTCCTTATTTTCCTTTTTTTTCTTGAGATACTAGGGAAAACCTGTGGTCTCGCATATTGCTAGGCAAGTGCTCTGCCACTGAGCTATGCCACTGCCCTATAATTTCTTCTTACTCAGACTTTGGGATATTTTTCTTTTCTTTCATTTTATTTTCCATTTTTCCAGTACTGGGAATTGAACCCAGAGGTGCTCTACCACTATGCTACACCCCAGTTCTTTTTATTCTTTTATTTTGAGACAGCGGGTCTAAGTTTCCCAGGCTGACCTCAAACTTGATCTTCCTGCCTCAGCCTGCCAAGTATCAGGAATTATGGGTGTGCCACCACTCATCTAGGTTTTGTGATTTTCTACACAGGGGTCTTGACATCTTTAGTGATAGTATTTCGTATTTTTGATGCCGTTTTAAATGGCGTGTTCAGACTTTTCTATTTCATGGTTTTTCTTTTCATTTTTCTTTTGGCACCAGAGATTGAACTAGGGCCACTCAACCACTGAGCCACATCCCCAGCCCTATATTGTATTTTATTTAGAGACAGGGTCTCACTGAGTTGCTTAGCGCCTCACTGTTGCTGAGGCTGGCTTTGAACTCATGGTCCTCCTGCTTCAGCCTCTGAGCTGCTGGGATGATAGGCCTGAGCCACCTCACCGGGCTCCAATTTTGTGGTTTTTACCTGGGCTGGAGTGCAATTGGTTTCCTTTCTGGCTTTTTCAAAGTTGGTGAAATAAATATCAAGCAATATGAGGAACAAGCTGCATGGACCCTCCAATCTCACTGACCAAGGACACTAAACACCACATGCATTTTGGTTTTACCTTCTCACCTCCTTGGGTGCATGTGGGCCTCTGGGAGGAGAGAAAGACGAGTTCATGAAGGTGGGCTGCGGGGACAGTCCACCCCAGGTGACCCTGCCTATCTCCCCTCCACTTAGCCCTGGACGCAGGACAACCCATGGCACTTTCTGTGTGTAAATATTTGTGTGTCTCCCTGTTATCCCAGTAAACCAGAGGCAGAGCTTTTCTGAGCATAGGTCTTCCTAGAAACCCACACCCCGTCCCAGGGCCTGCACAGCCTGCACTTGGCCCTCCGCTGCCCCCCGCCCCCCAGTCCTTACAAAGAAGGGCTCGCCGCTCCCTCATCCAGAGAGAGGGCAGACAGGGCCAGGCAGGCTCCAGCCATGGGCTCTGGGCACCGGGGCCTCACAGCTGTGCCCACACCCGGTCCCTGCGCTGCTTGCTACTACCGTAGTGCCCTATGGTGGCTGCTTGGCCTGGAAAACAGAAATGCATTGTCCTGGGTTCTGGAGGCTGGAGGTCAGCGATCAGGATGTCACAGGGCTGGTTCCTTCTCCGGGCAGCAGGGAAGGGTCTTTCCCCTGCCTCTTTGGCCTCGCAGGCAGCCGTCTCCACATCCTCCTCCCTCCGTGTCCACCTGTGTCCTCATTCCCCTTGTTATGAAGATGCGAGTCAGATAGGACCACCTAGGGACCTCATCTCAGCCAGATCACATCTGTACTTACTGGGTGTTAGGACTTCCTAGTCTTTTGGAGGACACTATTCAGCCCGGAACACCCAGGAGAGAGAGGCAGCTCCCAGATAGCGCTGTGGCCTCAGTGGGTGGCTTGGTTGTTATGGCCAGGGCACCATGGCGACGTGCATTGCCCTGGTTGGTCTCCCCACCTGGGCTGGTTCTGTGTTTGCCCCTCATGCCTGGTGAGGGTGCCTGGGGCAGGGATGGGGTGCATGCCTGCTTCTGGGGTGTGTGGCAGGCTGGGCCTGTTCCTGGCACTCTCTTCATCTCACATCCCTTGTCCTGCAGGGGTCTGCCCACCGACCGGTATATGTGGAGTGACGCTACGGGGCTACAGGAATGCACCAAGGCTGGCACAAAGCCCCCGTCCCTGCAGTGGACCTGGGTGAGTCCCAGGCTGTCTGAGGAGAGGCGTCCGCTTGCCCTGCCCTGCCGTGCCTTCCCCAAGTTACTGGCTAGCTACAGATTTGGGGGTCACATTCTCACTAACATGCTTCCCCAGGTTTCCGACTGGTATGTGGACTTCAGCATAACGGGAGGCACTGACCAGGAGGGATGGCAGTACGCCAGTGACTTCCCTGCGTGAGTATTTCCCTCTGCCCTGGGCTCCTGAGCATCAGGACCCTGGGCTGTGTGGCCTCTTGTGTCTCGCTTCTGTGCAAGGCTGGCCCTTGCCCCAGCCCTGGTCACCTCAGCTGCTACAGGGCTGGGGCTGGTTGAGAGGAGTAGGCGGGGCCCAGGGGAGCTCTGCCCCACAGCTGGCCCACCTGGCTGCTGAGATTCCTAAACACCTGGCTCCATCCTGCTGGGTCAGCCAGAAGGTTCTGGAGGACCAGTGGTGGGACCTGCTGGCCTGGGCTGAGGGGCTTCAGGAGGGTGAGGGGCCTCGGGCACCTTAGCAGGGAGTTCTGGGGGACGTTGGGCCATTTTCTGAATGCCAGGTGGTAATGGGGCCAGTGCAGGGGAACGTGTCAGGGTGAGGGGGCAGCCTCTTCAAGAGCGAGGCAGGCACCACTCTGGGAGACCAGGTGTGTCCAGGGCGGTGTGGTCGGAAGATGGAGAAGCAGACGGTGAGCCACAAAGTGGAGGCTGGTGGCCACAGTGTTGAGACCCAGGTGGCTTGTAGAGACCCTCACGTGGAGTCATGTCCAATCCAAGGAAGACCAAACCAGGAGCCCGAGTCCAGGCCTTGGTGGGTGGCGTCCAAGCAGAACCCAGCTGGGAGGAGGGAGAAGGTCCTGCCACCAGGCCTGGGACTGACCAGAGCCTCAGGCTGAGGGCTCCTCCCTAGAAGGACTCTGATGGGGACTGTGGGGGGAGGGCCCTTCAGCTTGACCCTCTGGAAGGGCACTGCCATCCCTGGCTCCAGGAGGCCCCAAGCCCAGGGGGCCGTTGCAGCGAGACACCCCTGACCCTGCTGCTCATCTGATCCTCTGACTTACACCAAGGCTCTGCCCTGCAGCAGTTTGAAAAGAATGTGTGTAGTGTCCTTTTCCAGAACCTTCCATAGGTGTCTTGATTTTTCCCTCCTCTTCTTGCAGCTCATACCATGGGTACAAAACCATGAAGGATTTTGTCAGGAGAAGGTGCTGGGCCAGGTGAGCTAAGCCGGGGGACGGAGCCCAGCCTGGCTCCTCCTGGGCCAGAGCTGCTGGCCTCTGATCTCAGTCTCCAGGGAAGAAACGGGAACAGGGAGGGAGGAGAAAACACAAAGTAAATGTCAGCCCAGGAAATGCCCGCGGGCTCCCAGCGCTCTGGTTTCTGAAGAGTTTGTTTTCAAGAACAAATAAGAGAAATGTCACTGGCAGGCCCTGCTTGTGGGCAGGAGAGAGGCCTGGCCAAATTGGGGGCAGAAAGGGGCCCACCACAGGCCCCTCACTCCTGCCCACGCAGGTGCCCTCCAGGGTCCTGGCCCTGCCCTCCCTGAGCCTGGGAATCTTCCCCCTCCTTCCTCAGTGGTGGTCGGTTGTGCATCTTGGCTCTGCTTGCTGGGCCCTCCGGGTGTCTACCTCAGGTGGCCGGGGCAGTGCCAGGCCCTGAGGCTTGCTGTCATGCTGGGCCCCTGAGTTGTGCTCTTTCCCTGGACAGAAAATGCAAGCTGGTGACCAGTGGGCCTTGGCTGGAGGTGGCTCCCATCGCCCTTGGGGACGTGTCTATCATCCCAGAGAGCCCAGAGGCTGAGGGGCACACGCACAGCATTGCCCTGTGGGCCGTCAGTGACAAGGGGGATGTGCTGTGCCGCCTGGGCGTGTCCGAGCTCAACCCCGCGGTGAGCACCTCCTGGCTCCTCCTGGCTGGGCCGCCCCGTCCTCCATGTGCTTCCTAAGATCGGCTCTGGCTCTGGAGTCAGGCTGGCTCAGGGCTCCCCAGGCCTGCCCAGGACGGTCCCTGTGGATGGAGCCAGTCAATGGGCCCTCTGGGCGGTTGGTGCTGAGGATGAGTTGACATGAGGAGCTGCCATCTTTCAGGGCCTGCGCTAGGGGTCAGAGGGACAGAGGTAGGCCCAGGTGACGTGGAGGATGTGTGGCACCTCATTGAGGTGCACATGTAATCATTTTCCGTGCCGTGCTTGAGAGATGAGAGGCCAAGTCCAGGGTCCAACAAGAGGCCAAGATCAGACTGTGGTCAGGGCAAGTCAGGCAGGGCCAGTTCAGGTGTCAAAGCTTCCCTGGACACCCTGCAGTCCCCCAGGTTTCCCACCCCAGGCAGGCTTGGACGCTGGACCTTGCACTGTAGCTGGGCTTGTGGGTACAGGGGCTCCCTGCCTCTGGGAGCCGCTTCAGCTCTCCTCCTCACTGCACCCAGGGCTCCTCCTGGCTGCACGTTGGCACAGACCAGCCCTTCACCTCCGTTTCCATTGGGGCCTGCTACCAGGTGTGGGCTGTGGCCAGGGATGGCTCTGCATTCTACAGGGGCTCTGTGTCCCCCTCCCAGCCAGCTGGTGAGTGCCGCCCTCCAGGAGGTCCCCAAGGGCCCAGGCTGGGGTGGGGCATGAGAGTAAGATTCTAGCTCAACTTGATAAGCGCTTAGTGGCATCTCTGGACCAGGCATAGGGGCCAGCTGGGGCCCCACCCACTGTCATAGCTGGTGACGAGGCCACCCCTTTACAGCTATCCCCATGCCCTGAGCCAGGCCTGTCTGACCCTTGCTGGGTGACCCACTGTGACCACTATAGAATGCTCTTTGCTGGCAATTTGGAAAGTGTCCCCTGGGGGAAGCTGGCACAGGGTAGACAGAGGGGTGGCTTGAGGGGCATACAGCTCCTTCCACTGAATGGGAGAGTTTGAAGGTAGCCACTGTGACCAGCTCTGCTGTGTGCCCGGCTGGGCACCTTTGTGTCTGCCTTGGTAAGGCTGGTCTGTTGGGCCCTCTGTTGAAACCTGCCACACCCCTGGCAAGGCTGGGGTGTGGGGTGGATGGCTGGGGTGTGGGGTGGACGGCAGGGCCTGGGCAGCCTTGCTTGGCCCTCAGCCCCCACTAGGCCTCAGCTGCACATCTGTGTTCGGCTGGGGACTAAGGCTGGCTGCATGTGGACTCTCAGATTTTGTGGGTGGCCCCCTGAGTCAGCTCTCCCATCACAGGTGACTGCTGGTACCACATCCCCCCTCCCCCCAAACAGAGACTATCACAGGTGTCTGTTGGGCAGACGTCTGTATATGCCTTGGATGAAAATGGCAAGTGGTTTCCGTTCTTGCATGGTGGGCCGGGAGGGTGGGGTTCCCCAAGGGAGGGTGGGGTTCCTGAGGGACAGTGGGCAGGCACCGACTCCATCAGGAGGGGACGGCCTGCCTCTGGGTTTCTTCTTGATGTGACTGGAATTGTCCAGGCTTTTCTGAGCCTTGTTTCCCCTGGGGACATGGAGCGCCAGGTGTCAGAGCCAAGCAGTTGGCCTGCATGTCAGTATGCCCTTCCCACGCTGTGATGACCCTGGGGGTAGGACACTGAGCTGCAGCCCAGGTCTGGGCCAGGACGGAACAGGACAGCCCCGAGGTCCCCAACGGAAGACCTTCATACTGCCATGAGAGATGTGCAGCCTGAGGCCAGCCTTGGTGCTAGCCTCCTCCCCAAGTTAACCAGGGTTGGGTGGTCAGCGACTCCAGATGGCCAAGACCTAATAGAGCAGAAAGCTGGTCATTGCCACTTCCTGTTGAGGCTGGGTGACAGCATGGCAGGGCTAGCACCAGGAGCATCTTCTAGAAGATTCCATTGAGGTCTGTGACATGGGAGCCTCACAGGAAACACAGGCTGGCTCTTGCCATCCCTGACCCTTGCCTGGTCACCTTAGGCAGGCCTCTGGCCAGTTCCCTTCAAGGTCCCGTCGTGGTTACGGGTGAGGAGATGCCAGGAGGAGGCAGAGTGCAGACCTGAGCCCAGGTGCTTCTCCAGATCCGGTTCTCCATTCTGTTTGTTTAGAACTCTTTGCCCTCAGTTTGTACCTCAGTAGGGAGAGGTGACAGCCCCAGCGCCGCCCAGCACAATGGGACGATTATGAAGCCAGGGAACCCGGGTGTGGAAAGGGCAGAGCTGGACACCGCCCAGGCCCTGCTGTGGGTCAGCGAGTGCGGGGTGTGAAGGAGCAGCGGGCGCCTCCTCCCCAGGCTCCCCGACCCGCTGCACCCCAGGAGGGGCCCTGACTCTCTGCTTCTCTCCCCAGGGAACCTGTGGTTCCGCGGAGGGATCACACCCAGTTACCCGCAGGGCTCCAGCTGGGAGCATGTGTCCAACAACGTGCGCAGAGTGTCCGTGGGGCCCCTGGACCAGGTGGGGAAGGGGGTGGCGGGTGCTGGGGTCTCTGGGCTCCCTCCCTGGCCTCCCCACTCCCACCCCAGCTGACCCACTGCAGCTGGGCCGGCTTCACCGGGCCTGTGTTCCAGGTCTGGGTCATCGCCAACAAAGTCCAGGGCAGCCATGGGCTGAGCCGGGGGACGGTGTGTCACCGCACAGGCGTGCAGCCCCGAGAGCCCAAGGGGCAGGGCTGGGACTACGGCATCGGGGTGAGTGTGTGGCCACCCTGCTGTACGCCCTCCTGAGGCGGAGCCATTGAGCTGGCCAGCCCAGCTGGGACCTGACCTAGGGGTGTGGGGAGGCCCCCAGCAGGGCCCCTTGGGGGTCCTGAGGCCTGGCTGATGTGGCTTCTCCTCCCAGGGAGGCTGGGACCACATATCTGTCCGGGCCAATGCCACCAAGGCCATCCGGAGCGTGTCCCAGGAGCAGGAGGCCCACGGCCCTGTCTGCTGCTGAGGCTGCCGCCCAGTCACCTGGAGGCTGGGATGGTGACAGGCTTGAGGATCAGGCTTGAGCCCTTCTGTGCTGAAGAGTGCCCCGCGAGAAGACATCGTCAGGACGACTCAGGAGGGCACCTGGCGGGTCGTGGCCCCTTCAGAGGCGCAGGCTGAAGTGCCAGGGTGTGAAGCCCACACGTGTCCCCCGTCTGCCAGGAGAGCTGTGGCGCGGGGAGGGGCCCTGGGCCCCCGCCTGTCCCATCTGCTCCTTGCCCTGCGCTGTCCACCTGCCCAGGCCCTGAGCCTGGAGCTCGGAGCTCACCAGGAACTCTGGCCCTGGGAGCAGAGCCAGGGAGGAACCCTTCTGAGCCAGGTGCCCCAGATGGCATCTGGGCCCTGCCCTGCCCCAAGAGAAATGGCTGCAGGGCTCTGGACCCCCTGCCACGGGCTGTGGTCATTCTTCAGAGCAGGGTTTAGAAGCAGATCTAGTTTGGAAAGTGAAACAGAGGTGGTGAGCTGGAGATGAATGCTCAAGTGGAGGGCCTTCCCCAGGTGAGCTGGGCCTGCTGGGTGCATGGAGATGTGCCCAAGTGCGGTCACCTCAAGAACCTTCCATGGTCGGGGAGGCCCCTCATATGGAGGATCTGGGATCCTGTTGCAGGGTGGCCAGGTAGAGGGGAGCAGTGTCCTGGGCCCCCCAACATTGTGGGAGGCAAGACTGCTGTGGGCAGGGTATGGACAGGATCCCCCCAGCTGTCCTGCCCCCAGGACAGGGAGAAGGTGCCTTCCGCCCTGATGTGAGAGCCCTGCTGTGCCAGGCCAGGAGAAGTGCTTAGCCAGTGGCCCTTGCCCTGGGTAGCCTCCGTGCTGCCGGCTGCCCCTGTGTGCCCCTTAGGCGATGTCTCCAGTCACTTCCTACAGCTGGACACTGTGCGTGGGAGGTGACCAGAGCCATGTCCTGTCCACGCGCCTTCTGAGGTGGCTTGAGTAGCCGGGCTCCTGACTGGCTCCCCGTCTGTCTGTCTGTGGTCAGGAGGGGTCGGCTCTGCAGTCATCTGGGATTCCAGTTTGCTGTGGAGGGTTTGTCACCAGAAGCCGACCCTAAGCATGGTCTTCTTGGGGGGGGCTCCTTGGGGGATCCCCTCCCACATGCATTCGAGGACCTGGTGTTCACAGTTCCTGGAGGTGGGGACCTGGTGAGCCTGGGTATGGCGCCCAGGGGAACGATGGAGTGGCCCTGGGCTGACCCTCCGCTTGTCTCCATGTTGGGCCTGAGTGGGCATCGTGGTTTGTTCCCCCCAATGTGACATGTATGTTTCTGCTGTGACTTGCTGTCTGTAGGTGGCTCTCAGCGAGGCACTGGGTGTCACTCTGCCCCCTCTCCAGAGTGACATGGCCTCTTGCTGCTCAGCACCAACGGTTCACCTGCTCAGCATCACTGTCTTGATCCCTGGGATGCTTTATTCAGTAAAAACTCGCACCACTGTCAACGGCATGGGATGTTTTATTAAGACATTTGATTAAGATGCACAGTTGCCCGTGCACTCATGGGCCAGAGCATCGTTCGTCCTGAAGTATTTTATTTTCATTTTACGACACAGCATCCATTTTATTAGTACTTTGAAGGGACCATTAGAAAAAAATAAGAGTAACTTTGGGTCATTTAAGAAGCATTTTTCACCACAATGAGGACAGGGGTGGCGCAGGCCGTTCGTTCCAGTTGAGTTTCCTCGGATGGAAACCGCTCGCAGTTCTGGCGTCTGCACTGCCCTGGTGGGAGGTGACAGGATCTGCCTGGGAGGAGTTGGGGGAGGGTGGGGAGCTGGTGGCCCAGGGGACCTGGGCTCCGATCAGGTGGGTGGCTCCAACCCACTTGTCCAAGGGCTTGAGAAAACAGCCCTGCAGGATGGAAGAGTCTGGCCTGGGATTAGGGCCCAGGGCCTGGGTAGAGGGGGACCCAGCAGCTGGCCTGCTGGCTGCCAACCTGTTCCCTGACCTCTCCCCAACATCTGGCATCCTGAAGTGGGACTTGGGCCTCTGAAGATCCTTGGTGTGGTCCAGGGGCGTACAGATCCCCTGCCACGGGTGAAGAAGGCCTGGCCAGCTGGCCCAAGTCAGTCTCTGGGAAGCAGAGGTGCCATCTGAGGGCAGAAAGCGCTAGGAGGCTGTTGTCCTGTAAGGCGGTGACCCAGATCCAGTCTCAGGCGGGGGCTCCTGGACAGAGCTCTGCTGGCACCGTCCCTCCCCCTGCTTTCATGCTTCCATAGTTAGTGCATCTGGCAGGCACTGGATGGACGGCACCTGCCCTGACCTGGGCTCTGCTGGAACCGAGCCGCTGGTCTGCAGCCCCGAGTCCCCTCAGCTAGAGGAGGCCTCTACCGTCTTGTGAGCTGTTGGGCAGGTCCCCCACAGCAGGGAAGGACTGGGCTCTGTCCCAACCTCAGCTCACATGGGTTGATGCCCTGACCACTGACCTTCCACAGTGAGGGGCAGACAGGAAGACCTGGAGTGTCCACCTAGCCCATGGTGAGGGCCAGCTCGGGTATTAAGGCCAGACCAGGCCTACTGGGACTGGCAGGAGGGACACACAATACCAACAAGCCCAGAGCCACCGTCCAGAGGGCCTGACCAGGAGGGTTAAGATTGAGTGGCTAATGTCTATTCCTTGGGGTGCCACATGCTGCCCTTCACATGGCCAGGGCTGACCCCAAATTCACTGGTGCCTTCAGCGTCTGGTGCTGTGCCCCTCCAGCTTGGGTAGGAGCAAGGCTGCCTCTTGGGAGTGGACTAGCAAGAGTCCATGGCCCAGTGTGGCCCCCACCCACAGCAGCTCAGGAGGGACCTGGCTCCCAGGGGACTCTGGGTCAGCTCCGGGCAGAGGGCCAAGGAAGGGGAGATGCCAGCAGGGGTTGACAGCAAAGTGGCTGAGTCCGGCAGAGCCAGTGGGGCAGGAACGCCCCGACAGACGGAAGCAGGACCAGAGGCAGCGGGGCTGCCAAGCCACCCAGTCCTTGCCATCAGGGAGCAAGCTGTGGGGGAAGGGACGCTCCTGCCATCCCAGGCTCCACCTTACACAAAACCCCAAAGGCCCCGACTCAAAACAGGCCCCGAGAAATCCTCAAGTCCTGTGCCAATTAGATGGTGGCCCCACATCAGTGACAAAGATGAATAGCAAACTGGGGTGGGGACCTGCAGGAGGCCCAGGACAAACTCCCCCTGTGCAGGGGCTTGGGGGCTCCTCTTAGGAACACAACTCTGTCTCCAGCCCAGTTCCACTGCCTCCCCAGGAGTCCCCACCCCAGAAGAAGAAGGAAGCTCCTCCCCGCCAGCTCCCTTTATCAGAGATCATCTGATTAGGGTGTCCAGAGGCTGAAGAGCTGCCATCTTGGCTCTGCCATATTCCCTGGGAGGCCTTGGGCCCAGGGCCTCAGGTTACCCTAAATGAGAAGGCTGAGCCCAGGCCCTGTAGCCCTGCGGTTGAGCTTGGAGGCTCCCTTTCCAGCCTTGGCTTCACCAGTACCAGGGAAACTTGTAAGTAAACATTTTTCTGGAATCTCCCTGTGCCCAGGAGGGAGCAGCCCACTGGTGGAGAGAGCCCATTTGGGAAGGTGAGGGCCTTTCCACACATGCCTAGTCCACCTGGCTCAGAGATAAAATGGAGGACCTGGGATGTGCAGAGGTGCTTTGGGCTCATGCTGCCCAGGGTCATGGCCCAGACCAGACCACTTGCTTGTCTCTGGACAACTGGAAGAAACGGCTCCAGGCAGGTGGCTGAGCTGAGCATTCAGGGAAGATGGATCTGCTGGGGCCACAACCTCGTGAAGTGTCACCAACTGGTCTGGGGCTTGCAGCACGGAGGACCAGGGCTGGGATGGGCTGGCTGGGCCACCGCTGCCGGCCCACCCCCGGACCTGGCTGTTAGGTGCCCTCCCGGAAGCTGTGGATCTGTGTGGAGTACCGCTGCAGGTGGCCCTGGGGCTGGGCCTCGGTGGCTCCAAGCGTGCCCCCGGCCGATTGCTGCTGTTGCTGCTGGTAATGTTGGTAGAGCTTGGGGCCCTGTGCTGGGCCCTGCCCCTCCAGGCCCTGGAGGCGGCCGCTGGACATGGTCAGGATGGTGGTGGTCAGCGACTTGATGTAGTTCTTGGCCAGGGTGAGCGTCTCGATCTTGGAGAGCTTCTTGTCGGCCCGCACGTGCGGGATGACCTCGCGCAGGGCCTGGAAGGCGTTGTTGAGCTTGTGCATGCGCTGCCGCTCCCGCTCATTGCTCTCCAGCCGCCGCTGGACACTGCTCTCCCGGCGGCTGCTGGGACCCTGCCGGCGGCGCCCACCCTCTGCCCGTGCCCCAGCTCCCCGGGGGGTCCTGCTCCGCAGACCCTTGGTCAGCTCCATCCCTGAGCCCGACTGGGGCCTGTCTGCTGTCTGCTCCTCAGGCGTGGCCTCCGTGTCCTGCAGTGGTGTCCGGCGCCGGGGTGGCCGATTCTTGGTCTTCATGGCTGCAGACCGGTCGTCTCAAGAGGTGGTGGCTGGGAGGGGAGGCCCTTAAAACTGAAATCCAGAACACAGGCCATTCTGTGGTCACTCACCATGGCCAGTGGACATTCAGGATGGCCCATCCCATCCGTGTCTTTGCCAATGAAATGGTACCAGTAGCCAGTGGCAGCGCAGCAGTTGGTGCAGGTAAGTGACCCTAGGGTCCTTTCCATTCACGTGCTGAGCCCTGAGCTCACCTGGGGCTGGCTGGGGCTGGACCTCAGTGGCCTCAAGTGTTCTTCCCAGCCCTTTGCTGCTGCTGCTGCTCATCTGTCTGATCTTACCCCAAACCCTCAAACCTTCCTGTATCTTATGTCCTTCTTTCTCTGAGGGGGTGGATGGCTCACATTGACCAGTGGACCTTATTCTGGTCCCATGCCCCTCACTGCCCCTTGAGTGCCTCCTGAGCTTAGGTGACCTTTGGCACTTTGCTTAGACCACCCAGAGATATGTCCCCACCCTGGTTTAGGGTGGCTCCTGCAATGCCTCAAGTTTGCCCCAAGGCAAACGCCACCTTACATGACACTCGGGGACAATATTGGGACCAGAACTACTGTGGACATAAGGCAGCTGTCACAGGTCAGAGGGTGACCATTACTGCCAGGACCCCACAGCAGACCCCAGTCCCACCACGTGGACAGCACCAGCTGCGTGTACAGGAGCCCGGGCTCCCGGTGGCCACCACCTGGGTTTTCCCCCTCTGCGGCCACATGGTCCTGCCTCTGGGTCCCCTCCCCGCAAAGCACCCAGACGCCCCTCCAGCCTCCCGATTACCTGGGGATCCGCGGCCGCACGCGCCGAGGAGGGTGCCCACGGGGGACAAGGACACGTCGCTTTAGCCGCCCCGGGCGGGGCCGCGGACGCATGTAAATGAACTCGCTGGGCGGGGGCGGGGCGGGGCCGCGCGGGGCGCTGGGCACCTGCTGCCGGTGGGCGGCCACGCCTCCGTTACCCGACCGGTAGCCACGCAGTGGCGACGAGCACCCCGACCTGCTCGCAGCCCGCCCCCGCCTACCCACCGCCCCGCTGCTCCGGATCAGCCGGAGTCCAGGCTGGCGGCCACTCCCCCGGTGGGGAGCCCGAGCCCTTGGGGGCCCGCGGAAGCCCCAGGGCCGCACCTGGCCTCCGGTTTAAGGCTCAGAACACGGAGCCAGTCCAGCCAGTCGCGAGCCAGCCGTCCTAGGATAATGGAGAATCTTATTAATCTTTAGAATTTTGACACAGGGTTCCCCTAAATTGCTGGGGCTGGCCTGGAACTGGCAATCCTCCTGCCTCTAGTAGAGAATCTTTAAAGGACAGCAGCCACAATCCTTGAGCAAGGGCTAGGGTTCCCTGGCTCCCAGGGCACCCCAAGTTTTGCTGTAAACCCTGCATCCCCCAAGAGCTTGGGGATGCCTGGGTTTCCTTTCCCACGCCGCCCCCCAAACGCCCAGGCTTGGGGTGGTGCTATCGGTAGTTCCTGGTGGCCTGTCCTGGTTGGTGGGAAGGGGCTGGCAATTTCTGGATTTGGGGCAGACAGCTTGTGCTCAAAACCGACTCTGCCACTCATGGGCTGTGCATCACCATCCCTGGCGGCAGCCTGGCCACCTGCTACAAGGGATGAAAAGATGCTAAAAGCAGCACCTTGCTCAGGAGCTGAGAGGCCAAGCCCCAATCCAGGGAGGACTGTGTGTGTGGACTGTCATGTGGCTGGCAGCCTCAACTCCACTGGGCCGTGCTGCCATGTCTTGGGCACCTCTGAATGGGGACTCATGTCTGTTTCATCTACACACTAAGGGTCTCACCTGGGACGTGAGGTGACTAAAGTCAGCCCTATGGGCCATAGTTATGGCAGGAGGCTGTCACATACCTCTTAGACACTTGCACCTGGGGTAAGGGACCAGAGGGATGCCCCTCTCCATGCAGAAAGGCTGGTTTTGTGTGGAGATGAGCCTTGTGGCTAGGGGCTCTTTAAGGCTGGGCCAAGTGAGGACCTCAAGGACAGACGCTCCAAGGCAGCTCAGCACCAGGGCACCCTCCCCCGCCCTACTCTTGCATGATGGAAAAATCACAGAATAAACGAAGCAACAGAGTTTATAAATATATAACTATATTTATTTTGAATATTAAATAGTTTTTAAATTACAAGCAATTTATTGAATCACACTATGCATCAATATACAGTAAAAATCTTACAATTTAAAAATGTACACAATTTAAACTGAAAGTTCATTAACTGTTATATTGCCGTGAACCTCTTCTGACTGTTCAGTACAAAGGCCTGGTAGGTATGATCGCCCCAGGCCTCTATCTGTAGACGAGTCCCATCATCCAGACCCAGCTAAGCCATTCAAGCTGACCTGGACCGGTGTCGGTAACGCAATACTGTCAACACATCTTCAAGAACTTATTTATATGCTAGAGAGTTTTCTTTTTTAACAGCCAAGACTGGCGCCAACCGCACTGCTACTTAGGAATATTGTTTCTGAGATTTCTGTCTGAAGTAACTGTATGCCCATTCTTTTTTTAAGGCTACTCCTCATGAGATCTGAAGCCCCCCATAACTGAAACCCAACATTTGGAGTATGACACTTGCATTGCATCTGAATTTTTAGGTGACCGACTGAGTAGAGAACTCTGCCAGGCCCCCCCGGGACAGACATGCAAAGATCATTAACTCTACAAATACCCTATGGGAAGGAAATATGAGTGAAAGGAAGAGGTTTTTGAAAGGCAAGACATACAAAGATTTTTTTCTTAGATAAAACCATCTCTATAGAAACAGGCCTGAACATTTAAAAATAGAATGGATGATTTGTTTTTAATTCAGCTTTCTTCTTTCGCCCTTAAGATGAATGGCTTCTGACCCAGACACAGGATCTGAGTCTCAGAAGGATCTGGGAGGACTTTCTCTACAGTTCTTTTTCTGCTTATGACAGGGCCGTTTGATAACACAAATCAGCATCTAGCTAGAAGGGGAATGACGGTTAGATTATTCGTATTACATGATTTAAACATACACACTCCACCAAAGTAAGATCTAAATCAAGTCGTATGGTAGCCATCCTGTACGGCTACCCAAAGGAGGCCAGGAAATGCCTCAGGTATTAGAAACCTCCCCACTTGGTCTAGAGAATGCCGATGATTTACTTCATTGCATAACTTTTTAGAACAAGTACCATTCATAAAACCCACTACTGGTAACCAACTTATTAGTTAAAAAATAAAAAGAAATAAAGAAACCCAACAACAACCCCCCCCAACAACCCTGAATTGAACAACAAAGTGCATGCTTGACACTTCAAAATGGGTTGAAGTTTTAATCTATTGAATTAAATTTCTTTGTATTGCTTGAGATTTCAAAAAATCATGTTGACTCACATGTGTATCAGAAATACAGTCTTCCCTTCCATGCAACACCACAGTAAGATCCAACCCACCCCATTCCCAACTCAAGGTATAAAATGCTTTTGGCAATTAATTATGAGAGTGATACAGACCTAAAATTAAAAAATGTGGGAACTATGTTGTTAAAAAATCTTGACATAGTGAAAAAAAGTACAGCCCCCAAATAGCAGTAAATGTATCCTGGGCTAACTACGTAAGAAGGCTATATATTCTATGGATCTGCTTGATTTTTAGTCACTTAAGTCTGAACTCCTTAAGCCTATAATTTGAAAAAATGAACATAATCACATCTCATTTATCTCTCAACCAAGACTGGTAAATAGAGGTAAAAAAAATCAGAAAACTCAGGAAGTTGCCACAGCAAGAAATTCAGTTCTGACATTTTGGCAAAATCACCTTCCAAAGCCCTGCTTCCATGTCCAGACCCAGCGCTAGAACCCGGCCGGAGTGCACTATGGTCACACCACGGTGGGGGTGGGGGGACTCCATTCTGAATTTTCTTGCTTTGGAAAGTTTTATTGCTTAGTAGAAAAAAATTTGCAGAGTGAATCGGAATTCATAATAAAGGTCACAATTTACCACCTACATACACTCCAGCCAAGGTCCATATTTGCATTCTGCACAGGGACTGGAGCCAGCTGACGTCACAGCTCCAGCCGCAGTCTAGAGACTCATTCCAGTGTCTTGCTGGAGTCTGGAAATCAGATCAGCACCCGAAAATATTTGGGGCGAAGGACCAGTGTGAGGGGACCCACCCCAGTAGGATCAGTGCTAGCTCAGCACAGCGCGGCTATGCCACACTAGCCATCGGAGACTTCCTGGTGCCAACACAGAGCTCAAGGATGGTAGGATGAGGGCAGCTTCGGGTCAGGGACTCCTGATTCCTGCCAGCCTGTGATGAAGCCGCACTGCAAATGCTCAGTCCCTTTCAAAACAAGAGGAGAACAAGAAGGAAAAGGCTGTGCAGAGGAGCCCCTGGGCCACGCAAGTTGTGACAGTCACACAGGATAACCCTGAGGGCACATCGGCTGCTGGGCTCTGCTGAGGCCCCCTGTTTTCTTCCTGGCAGCCGCAAGGTGCAGTCTATCTCCTGGGTTACAAAGACACCAGCCATGACTTGGAGTGGCTCTGAGGGGGAAATCAGCTTTGGAGACTTCCTTTTTTTCCAGTGCTAGGAATGGAAGCAAGGTCTCAGGCACGCAAGGCAAGTGCTCTACCACTGAGTTACGCCCTCTCCCTGGAAATTTTTTAAGAGCTTGATTCAACCACACCCAAAGTAGACAGACAAAATTATCCATACCGTGCCCAGCATCCAGAGCCCTCTACTGGGACGCGTGGGGATGCCAGTGCCTCGGAGGAGGGACAGGTAGAACCCCTGCAGCCTGGCCCCCCTGGGGGAGGGGAAGGGGGCGGAGGCCACACTCTGCCTGCAACTTGCCTGACCTGCTATGGCAGAAACTGGCCTCAGAGAACAGTGACCTGCAGCCAAGTTCCGGGGTGCACCTCCTGTCAATTTTTACCAAAAGGGTTGAAAAAGTGGGCGCAGAGTGGGAGCATCCCACAGAGAGGCTGCAAGGCCTTTGAGCTGCTCAGAGAGGCCTCGTGTGCTACAGGGGAAGCAGCTAATAGAGAACAGACAAAATGTGTTCGATTCTATCAACAAAACAGAGCAGTATTTTTGGACTCATCAAAAATATTTCCTATAAGAACATAAAACACTAACATTCAGAATCAATATCATTTATGAAAGAGTACCATATGTACAGTTCCAACAATTCTGAAGACGGCATAACACTCAAAATATTTAAGCTTTACAAGTACCATGCAGAGCAAATAAACTATTTAAAAAAAATCAAACTAGTGAATAGCACCAGCTTGACCTGCCGTATTTTCCTTGAATAATTTATGATTCTGTACAATATTGGGACTCTTGGAACACTTATCCACAGTGCAATTACAGAGAGCAATTAGTGATTTCTTTAAGAACAATAAATATGGCTCACTTGTGACCATTCCCCTGGTGCACCCTCCACAGCACCTGTACCCAGACCAGGAGGCACAGGTGTGGACGTGGAAGAGGAGGCAGAAAACAGACACACACCCCAGTGCACATGGTTCCCCCACACACGTGGAGGCAGTGTGCCACCTTGCCAGGATGACCAGCCACGAGCACTTCAAGTGTGAGGGGCCGCGGGTGTGCAGCTGCAGAGGGCCCAGCTGCCCGGCCCGGTGGCGGTCCAGCAATCTTTCACCTTTGGAGTCCCTCTCCCAGGCTCACGGTGGCCAGCGGTGGGCAGGACTGCTCGGCTGACTCGGGATGCTGCTTGGTGGAGTTCTCTGCAGCAGCTAATCCTTTTCTCCATCTTCACTGCTGCCTATTTGGGAGACGAAACAACATGACACGATGGATTTTAAGAACTGTCCCCAAAAGTAACAGTACAGAGCATCTCTGACCAGCCTGGCAGGAAAAGGAACTGTGGCTCGTATCTGCTGTCACACCTGCCCGAGCTGCCCCGTGTGTCCTCGGAGCAGCATTCGCCAACTCCGCACACACAGCTGCTCGGCTCCCAGGGTGGCTCCGCGTCCACGCTCAGGGCACAGAAGAAACCAGCCCCGACCTGCACGTCTGCCCCTGGGAGACTGCTGGGCACGGGCATTATCTAATCGGCACAAGCGAAACAGTGCAAACACAGATACCAGCTCTTTATATTTCACATTTATTATTTGAGCTGTAAACTTTAAATAAAAAAAAAATGTACCTATTAACATTTATCTTTTAATCTAGGTACAGGGAAAAAGAAGCCAAATGTTCAGATATTGCCCCTTCAAATGTGCCCCTGCCATGAATTCCCACCTGGTTCTCTATCACAGAGACCAAAACTTAATGGCAAAATCAACAACCCCAGGGAAGAGCCAGAGTACACCAGGCTCAATTTCAAAACCACAGGTCAAGTGTTCTCAGCTTGCACCTTCTGAAAGGCTGGATCTGTGGGAAAAACAGGGACCAGCAGCAAAAGGAGAAAAGGGGAAGAAAAGGGGGCGGAGCACTGCCTGGGGAACTCCTCAAGTCCTCCAGGTGGCCTTGGGGTGGTTCCCACCTCTGGCTGGGGTCACCAGCCCAGCAGCGGCAAGCAGCCATGAGCCTGCAGAGTAACCTGAGGACACAGTTGAGATAGCGGAGTTTGGAGACCCGCCCCACCCCCACCACGGCCCCAGGACACACAGGCTGCCTCTCACCTCCCTGCTCAATGTCCGAGTCTGTGAGGTGCGTGAGAGAGAAGCTGGCGATGTTGGCAGGAGAGATGGAGAACCTGGAACAGGGGGACACGTGCGGCCAGCTCTGCTCTGTGCTCCGGGCCGGTGGCGGGGGAGAGAAGTACTTGGACGTTTGAAGGGAAGGCTTGGAACCAAGGAGGTTGCTTGTCGTCTTGGACATGAAAGGATCGGCAGAGAAGTCATCATCCCATTCAAAGCCTCCACCTGGAAATAAGTCAACCCCAGATTATCACTTTGTGATAAGGAAGAGAGGGAGCACTCAAAGTACAGGCTCGCTTGGCACGTCCCCAGACACTGCCCAGCCGATCCCCCGTGTCTCGAGGCTGGGGAGATCACTTAAAGCAACAAATGACGTTCTGCAAACACACTGACATTATTTGAAGCTCTATTTTTCTGTTTTTCAAAGTCAGATAGAGAAGCTAAATACCTTCTTCATCCGTGGAGCTTTCAGAATTTATGCACCTGCTCAGGTAGGGGGAGTCAGAAGACGGTGCTGGGCTGTTTGGCCCGGGGCCATGAGCTTCTCCTCCACAGTGTCCCAGCTCTTTGGTTGGGGTCTCCTGAAAAGCCGAAGAGAAATTCCTGTGAGCCCGCCCTCAGGAGCAAGCCAGCAGCAGGGCTGTACCCAGCTGGCGGGCGCATCAGGATTGACTCTGAAGTGTGCATCTTAAAGCAAGGGTGGTTCAGTCCTGGGTGGGAGGAGACAAACCCAACACTGCCCCTCCCTGTGAATGCAGCTCTGACACCTGGGCAGGATGTGTGAAGTCGCTCCACAGCCACTGAGAAGTGACACACAAGAAGATGGGGAAGAAACCCAGAATTCAAGTGCCACCAAACCAGCAATGCACTTGCCCTGTTTGCCTCCACCATCTCCTCACCTGGGTTCAGCTCTGCCCACCACGCAGTGGGCTCGAGCAGAGGCTTGGTTCTGCTTTCAGCAGAGGAAGGGGGTTTCTGATCCAGACAGAGGCTCCGCAGGGAGCTGCAGGGAGCTTGCTTTCTTTTTCCCTGGTTTGTCACCCCAGCCCCAGTCAATCCTGGGATGAAAGTGCTATGATTCTGAGGGGAGAGAGGCTTCTTCTGCGTGGACCATCGGCAACCCCCAAAGGGCAAGTGGGCGGGACCCCTGCTGACAGCTTGCTGTCCTCCTGTTCAGCAAGCATGAAGCACGGAGGAGGACCAAATGGAGGAGGCTCTAGGAGTGGACAGCACAGGGCTATCACAGAGGAAGGAACTCAGAAAAGCAACCCTAGAAACTGGGTGAGGAGCTCCCAGGCCTACCCTTGGGCTGACTCTAAATAATCAACAAAGCTCTGAAAACTGAACTATGGGGAAGGCGGAAACCAAGTCCCGGCCTGGCTACGGACAGCATCCACAGGTACAGGTTCAAGCAGCACAGCGAAGCCTTTGAAAGGGGAACTAACACTGAAACCACAACCACAGAAGGCGGCTGGAACGTGTGGCCTGGTCCCAGCTGGGTGAAAGCCTGCTCAGACAAAAACACCACCGTCTCCCATAGGTTCGAACACAGACTGCACAACAGGTCCTGAGGGATAGAATCCAAAATCACAGCATCCAAAGAACCAGGAAAAACTCAATTCACAAGGGAAATGATAACTGACAGATATGAATGCCAAGAGGACACAGGTGTCAAAATTACCTGAAAGACTTCAAAGTGCTGAAGCTTGGGGTGTAACTCAGTGGTAGAGAATGTGGGAGGCCCTAGGTTAGATCCTCAGCACCACAAAATATAAAAATAATAAAAGGGAGGGCAAATACTTTAATGAATGGGAATACAGAAAGTTTTAGCAAAAGAATAGATAATAATAATAAAATGAAAATATGAGAGTAGAGAGTTGCAAATGGAATTTAAAAACTCACTAGATGATAGTGAAAGAAACAGTGAACTTGAAGATACAGCAACAGAAATAATCTATCCAACCAAAAGCAAAGGGTGGGGGGACCTGGAAACAAAAGCAGAGGATGGTACTAAAGCCTAACACTGGGGTCCCAGGAGGAGAGGAGAGGAGACAACAGTGTGGTACAGAAAAAGTACTGAAGGGACCGGGCGCAGTGACCACACCTGCAATCCCAGCAACTAGGGAGGCTGAAGCAGCAGGACGGCAAGCTCAAGGCCAGCTTGGGCAATGTGGCCAGACCCTTTGTCAAAGTAAGAAATAAAAAGGACTGGTGGCATAGCTCAGTGGCAGAGTGTCCCTGGGCTCAATCCCCAATACTGGGAGAAAAAGAAGTACTGGAAGGATAATGGCTGAAGACATTTAAAATTTGGTGAAAGACACAGAACTACAGATTCAAGAAGCTAAGCAAACCTGAAATGGGATAAGCACAAAGAAATCCATGCCAGAGGCATCACAAACTGCTAAAAGCTAAAGACAAAATATCCTGAAAGCAGCCAGAGAGAAAAGGCACATTATTTATAGGGGGGCAAAGCAAATGTCTCCTGAGCAATTAGGAAGGCCAGAGGAAGTGATGCTTTCGCGTGTGTGTGTGGAGGGGGGGGTTGCCTAGGACATACTAGGCAAACATTGTACATTGAGCTACATCCCAGCTGGAAGTGATAAAATTTTTTTCCAAATAATCTTATTTTATTTATTTTTATGTAGTGCCGAGGATCAAACCCAGTGCCTCACATGTGATAGGCAAGTACTCTACCTCTGAGCTCTGAGCTACAATTCCAGCCTGACAAATTTTTTTGCATGTGGAAAGAAAAGGAAGTGTCAACATGGAACTCTATATTCAGAGAAAATATCCTTCGCACCTGAGTGGTAGAAGGAAGGTGGTGGAGAGGGAGAGAGAAGCAAAGAGAGAAAAGGCAAACACGGGCTGGAGATGTGGCTCAAGCGGTAGCGCGCTCGCCTGGCATGCGTGCGGCCCGGGTTCGATCCTCAGCACCACATACAAACAAAGATGTTGTGTCCCCCCGAAAACTAAATAAAATAAAATAAAATAAATATTTAAAAAAAAAAAAAGAAAAGGCAAACACACTTCTCCAATTGGAAGGGAAATGACATTAAATGGAAACCCAGAACCATCAGTAATGAATAAAAAACAACAGAAGTAGTAACTATCTGGGTAAATATACAACTATTTGTCTCCTCCAGAATTTTCCGAATATGTCTGATGATTAACATAAAACACAGGACACTCTGGGATGGGGTGTCAGTGATGTGTATGTGGGGGGGGGCACTGGGCAGTAGCTAGAGTCTAGCATTCCACAAGGAAGTGGTGAAACGCTGGTTCTCAGCAGACTGAAAAGGTAAGTATGTACACTGGAACCCTCCAGCCACCAAATTACCACACACACACACAGTAAAAGACACAATAAATAAAAATTAATATTAACCATGTTCTATTACTAAAAGAAGAAAGAGAGACAATCAGAAGAACAGAACAAAACGGGGCACCTAAATACAAGCTTATTAATAATTTTATTAAGCTCGATGTGGTGGCTCATACCTGTAATCCCAGGGCTCAGGAGGCTGAGACAGGAAGATCACAAGTTTGAGACCAATCTCAGCAACTTAGCAAGGCCCTATGCAGCTTAGTGATACCAGTGCAACTGGTACCAAAATCCAAAAAAACAAAACAAAACAAAACAAAAACCCCTAAATTAAATACACCACTGAAAACAGATTTTCAAAATAGGTTTTATTTTCTTTTGTGGTACTGGGGATTGGACCTAGGGGTGCTCTGCCACTGATCTATATTCCCAGACCCTTCCATTCCACCTCTGCCTTTTTTGACAGGGCCTTGCTAAGTTGCCCTGGCCGGCCTTGAACTTGGGATCCTCCTGCCTCAGCCTTAAGTTGCTGGGATGAAAGGCGTGTGCCACTGCACCCAGACAAAACATGTTCTAAAAATATGCCCCTGGCCCCACCTTTCCCATGGGGATGGAAGGAGTGAAGGTTGATCAATGGGCACTGAGAGAAGAGTAAGAAGTCCTGGTATGCCATCCTACAGCAGGGTGACCACAGATGATGAAAATGAACCATATATTTCTTAAAGCTACAAGAAAAGATTTTAATGATTTTGCCATAAAGAAATGATAAACATTTGAGGAGGCAGAAATGTTTACCCTGGTTTAAACATTACACAGTATGTACACGTACTGAAACATCACATGCCACCCCCAAAATACATACAATTGTTTTTATGTTTATCTGTACGAAAGACAGATTTTTGAAATAGGTTTTATTTTTTAAAACCTATTTTAAACCAGTTAAAAAAATAAAAAAATTATCAAGAATCAATAAATAGGATGGATTCAAACTAAAGAGCTTCTTCTCAGCAAAGGAAACAATCACTGAGGTGAAGAGAGCCTACAGTAAGGGAGCAAATTTTTAGCACATGCACATCAGAGAAAGCACTAATCTCCAAGATATATAAAGAACTCAAAAACCTTAATACCAAAAAACCCCAAACAACCCAATCAATTAATGGGCTAAGGAACTGAATAGACACTTCTCAGAATAAGATATACATTCAATCAACAAGTATATGAAAAAATGTTCAACATCTGTAATTAGAGAAATGCAAATGAAAACTACTCTAAGATTTCATCTCACCCCAGTCAGAATGGCAACTATCAAGAATACAAGCAATACTAACTGTTGGAGAGGATGTGGGGAAAAAGGCACACTCATACATTGTTGGTGGGACTGCATATTGGTGCGACCACCTTGGAAAGCAGTATGGAGATTCTTCTAGAAAACTTGGAATGGAACCACCAGTTGACCCAGCTATCCTACTCCTCAGTCCATACCAAAAGGACTTAAAATCAGCACACTACCCAAAGGACTTAAAATCAGCCAGGCCAATGTTTATAGCAGCTGAATTCACAATAGCTAAACTGTGGAATCAACCTAGATACCCATAAACAGATGAATGGATAAAGAAACTGTGGTATATATACACAACTGTGGTATATACAGCATTAAAAGAGAATAAAATTATGGCATTTAAAGGTAAATGGATGGAGTGGAGAATATTATGCTAAATGAAGTAAGCCAATCCCAAAAAACTAAAGGACGAGTATTTTCTGATTAGTGGATGCTGATCTATGATTGGGGGGTGGGGCATGGGAAGAATGGAGGAACTCCGGATTGGGCAAAGGGGAGGATGGGGAAGGGTTATGGGCATAGTAAAGATGGTGGAATGAGATGGACATCATAACCCTAGGTACATGTATGATTGCACAAATGGTTCGTTTCTACACCATGTACAACCAAGAGAATTGAAATGTTACACTCCATTTGTATATGAATACTTGCAATGCATTCTCCTGTCACGTAAAACTAAGTAGAACAAATAAAAAAAATAATAAAAAATTTAAAAATAATCAATTATATACTATCTATATGAAATTCATAACAAATGTAATGTTACAGGTAGATTAAAAGCATAAGGAAGAAAAAGATACACCAAACAATAATCAAAAGAAAGTTAGAGCCAGGAGGATCGCAAGTTCAGAGCCAGCCTCAACAAAAGCAAGGCACTTAGCAACTCAGTGAGACCCTGTCTCTAAATAAAATACAAAATAGGGCTGGGGGTGTGGCTCAGTGGTTGAGTGCCCCTGAGTTCAATCCCCAATACCTCGCCCCCCCACCAAAAAAAAAAAAAAAGAGAAAGAGCAGCTATATGAATATTAGAAAAAGGAACGGGGATACAGCCCAGGGGAAAGCACTTGGCTAGTATGTGCAAGGCCCTGGGTTCAATCTCCAGCACTGCAAAAAAGAAAAGAAAGAGGAATAAAGGACTTTGGTTAAGTATTAAAAGGGCAGTGGATGAAGAAGATGCGATCACCCTGTATGTACACGAACCATTTGGAGGTGGCTCGGGTAGAGGGCCTGCCTAACAGACATGATGTGTAACACACTCAACGATACTGACATCAGTGAAGAGAAACGCAGAAACCCACGATACAGCTGCAGCTTCCACAGCTGCAGTTACTCTGAAGAGTAACAATTTAGACAGAAAAATCAGCAACTGAACAAGACTATCCACAAACTAAACCTGACGTTTACAGAACAGCAGTCCACCACAGGAAGAGAACACACGCATTCAGAGGTACAGGGAACACTGACCCAGGCAGGCCACAGCCCGGCCCTAAAACAGACCCTAATAGGCGTAAAAGAATGGAAACTACACAGCATGCTCCTGACCATCATGGAACTAAACTGGAAGCCAGCAACTCAAAGGTACAAGAAAATCTGTAACCCTTGGAAATTAAACAATATTACAAATAATCCATGAATCAAAGAGTAAGTCTTAAGGGAAAAACAGAAAATCATTTGAGTTGAATGAAAATGAAAATAACATTCTGACAACAGTGGGATGCAGCTAAGGTGGTACAGAGAGGGAAATTACAGCATTAAATGCTAATACTGGAAAAGGAGAGAGGTCTCAAACCCCAAGCTTTTAACTTTAAGAAACTCAGGGAGAAAAAAGCAAAATAAATTCAAAATAAGCAGGAGAAAGGAAATAATAAAGATAATAAAGATAAGAAGAAAAACAACAAAGAAAAAAAAAACCCCACAAAATCCAAAAGCAATTCTTTGGGAAGATCAACACTTCTACATGATCTCTTCCAGAAGCCACAGGAGTATGAAGAAACACTTGCCAAAGCACTCTCTGAGGCCAGCATCGCCCTGACACCAATACTAAGACAGTGGCAAAAACCACAAAAACCCAAACCAAGTAACCAAAAAAACCCGGGTGGGCCCAAGAATGCTGAGATTCTATCTTGTGTTCATCCCTCTCCTTTCTGTTCTTGGAGAAGGGCACCTTCTTCTCCCAGGCTGGCTGACAGGGTTCTCCAGGTGGAGGTGGTGGGGAGCAGCAGGGAAGGAGCAGACCTCAGAGCTCAGGCTGAGCCCAGGAAGCCACTCTTCTTTCCTTCAACCTCCACCTCCTGTATTGCAGAGGCGCATTTGAAAGCACAGAGCACAGAGCAACAGAAAGGAAGACTCCATGGCCGAGACTGCAGGTGCTTCATAGAGGCCATGCTGCCAAGGGCTCTGCTCCAAGAACTAAGCAAAAAGGAGCCAGCACCATGAAGGAAGCCAAGGTCTCCACACCTTCTGGAAAGTGATGGGGCCTATTCCCACAACCGGGCTTCACTTACAATCCAGCTGACTCCAGAAGCAAATTCAAAAACAACACTTCAGTTATAAGCTGTTCCACTTTTCAAGGAGCTTGTCTGTGCTCGTCGCACACTAAGCCTCCTGTTCCACACTGGGCAAAGAGCATGCAGCCAGGGGATGGGGCAGAAGGGCCAGCACGTCACACTCCCAGACACACCGCAGGAGCTGCTGCTGGTCGGCTGTCTCCAGAGCTGTGTGCCAGCAACTGTTCCAGGCCTGCACCCAAGTGCCGGGTGTTATTGCCAATTGTCAGATTCTAAAAATTAGTCTGTAAAGGGTAACTGATTTCAGTAGGACCTGTTAGGAGATCCAGGAAGAGCATCCAAGTCTACTTCTCTTAATTTAATTCAAATTCCCTGGGCAAACTACATCTCTGACTATTCTTGGAATTGGAACCCCAAATTACTTGGGGTAATCGCAATCTGTTACCACGAAACAGTAATTAGAAAAGAGACCACAGTCCACACTCAACTTTGTAACATGTTTTGGAATTCTCTAATATAGATACAGGCATTTAAAATAATTTAGAGGTGGGGCTGGGATTGTGGCTCAGTGATGGGGTGCTCGTCTAGCACGTGCCAGGCCCACATAAAAATAAACAAACAAAATTGAGGTACTATGTCCAACTACTTCTAAAAAGTAAACATTAAAAAAAAATAATGTAGAGGTAACAGATACCTGGTCAAACAGGTAGACTGTGACATCATCAAAAAACGTCACTGCCTTCTTTTCCTTCTTCCAGTCATCAGGCAGCTGATCAATGGCCACAGATGCTGACGGTTTCAACAAACTCCGCAAGTGCCTGCTGTCCTCATCGTTGCTGAGGATCACAGGCACAGGGTGCTCGATGTCGTCTTCCGATTCAGAGCTGAGGCTGTGCAGGTTGAAGGCCCTCAGGTCCTCATCCGAGTCGTCACTGTTCTCGTCCTCCTCATCGGCATCCATCCCATCCTCGGAGAGGTCGAGCATCCCAGACACAGCAAGTTTGCCCAGGTATTTCCCTTCAATATCTGGCTCTTTCAACTTGGGGCCCTCAGAGTGGCTGGATAAGGACTTATCCACCGAAGAATTTGCATATGCCAGGAGTTCGTTGGTGTTGGTTCCCGTGGAGGTGATGGTGCAGGGGCGATCTTCTTGCATCTCGAAGTCGTCACTGCTAAGTTCTGAATTCAATAAACTTAAGGGGCTCCTGGCCTCGTCTTCCACAGGGTATGTCTGTCTGGAAATCTCAGCCTGCACTGACTCCAATATTTCTTGTACTTCCAAGTGACTGGAATTCTGCGTATCCGATGGACAACTTTGATGTGGTTGGCTCTTTTGGGTTTCCGGGCAGCTATCTTTGGCACCAGGGCTTTGCTCTGGGGTGACTGGCTCAGGCAGGGACTGGTCCTCTGCTAATGCCAAGGCTGAAGTGGAGGTTCCTGGGACCTCTTCAGACTTTTTATCTGGCTCCGAGTCATTATCTGAGAAGTATGCAGAGTCTCGATATGAACTCTGGGAGACAGGTGCAAAAGTCTGTGAGCTGCCTTCTGCCCCTCGGTGGCCATCACCTGCATCTGAGATGACGATGACCGGGTTGGCAGGCAGACTGCTATGACTGCCATCACCCACTGCAGCTGAGTCTGAGTCTGAGGTGCCCTCAGGGGCAGGGTGCAGAGTCCACTCAGGGGACTCCAGGTTCTCTGTTTCATAGCCACTATCTGCTGGCTTGTCAGGGGGCAGGAGTTTCTGAGGGGTGTGGGAGCCTAAGGATTCCAATAACGCTTCATGGACATCCACTGAATCCAGGGAGTCTGGGGTCTCTACTGACTGTTCTGAGGTCGGGTTGGGTGTTGACAAGCTATCGTCTAAGAGGCTATCTTGGCTGGTGGAGTCTGATGAAAGGGCAGACACCAAGCCTGTATCTTTTGTGGCATCTTTATAACTTAGCTGGTTTAAAGTCTCTACAGTTTCCAAGTTTTTCTCCAGTAAACTGCCTCCATGACAGTCTTCTGAAAGCAGTTTATTTTGTAAGTTTTGTCTCAATTCTGGAAGACTGTTCCCAGTACTCCCCCGACTAGCAAGAACATTATCTATAAGAATGGAGTCCCCTTTGGTTAATCTGAAGACCTCCTGGCTTGGGTGCATTGAGTCCTGGGGCCCACTGTCCACACCACAGGTTCTGGTGTTGGTGGAGGGAATCTCAACTTCAGCAGGTGTAGAGTCTGGATTCAGATCCTGGCAGAGAAGGTCCTCAGGGGTGCTGACATCCAAACCTGTAGGCTTGGTCCCTTCCTGCTTCAGAAGTGAACCTGAGGGGGCATCAGGAAGTGCTTCTTCTGCTGTGAGAGAGGTAGGAGGTACCTGCGCTTCTGGGGAAGACTGCAATGAGGTGCTCAAAGTGTCACCCTTGAGCGTGACTCCTGCATCTGTGCCCTTTGTGCCCAGATTCTCCTGGGACAGAGGGAAGCCCGGTGTCTTTTCATTAAGCTTAAGCTCAGTAGCTATAGAGTTTCTAGGAGACATTTCTGAAACAGTGTCAGTAAAACTGGCATTCTTAAGTTCTGTTTGAAGATCACTTATAAGTTCCTTGCTAGATAATGAGTCTTTTAGTAAGTTTTTCTCTTGAAGAAATAAAAAGTTTTCTGTCAATTCTTGAACATTCAATGGATCAAAGTGATCTTGGTGCAAAAGATTTTCTGACAAACAAAGAGGCTCATGGTCAAAAAGCTTACGAGGCTTTTCTTTGTCAGAGTGGCAAGCTATTCCTGACTTGCTGGGGTCATCCAAACTTGAACCTAAAGTGGTTGGCTTAAAGTCAGTTTGAACTCCATTTAGTTCCATTAAGTCGAATATTTTTTGGTGACTGGGCAAATCTTCCGCTTTGTCAATATCATTAAAAATATTATTGAACGGGCTCTCAGGGCCACTGTTAACATGTAAATCCTCAGCTAAGCCAGGATCTTTCGGGTCTGTACTGCTCTGGAAGAAATCTTCATCTGTACTGGATTCCTCAAATTCCGGGTTCCTGAGGGTGGGAAACTGGGATGCCTCTGCTCCAACCCTTTCTGGATTATCCATTTCGGTTGTGAGCAGTGCAGGTGGGTAATCAAGTTCCAAGTTTCTACCGCTTTTCTCTTCTAACTGGATATAATAGTCACTTCCGACTGAAAGGTTATGAGCATCAAAGACAGGAACCACTCCAGGGGCCCTGAGGGGGACCTCCTGGCCACTGTCATCCTGTTTTCCAGGCCCAGGTTCTGAAAGGGAACTCTCAAACACCTCAACTGGAAAGAAGATGCTTGAGTAGGATAAGGCCTCGTCTGGGTGGCCCCGGCCACGCTCATCGAAATGATCATGCTTGGCAGCCTCCCAGACATACTCGAAGCTCAGCCCCTGGCTCGTTTCGGTCACTGTGAGAACCTCCTCCATTTCTCGACCAAGCCGATCCCTGGTAAAATGGTCGAGGATTGGAAAGGCAGCATTGCTTGACGTGTCTCTGCTGCTGGTGTTTGGTTTGAGAGCATTCCACTGCTGTTCAAAGTCCACTTCCGCATTCCGCTGGCTCTGCATGCGCAGGTAAGTCAGCAGTCTGTGGACATCTTCAGCTGCTGGTCTCTTGTCTGGTGACAGCCAGCAGAACTGTAAGACTTCATACCTGAACAGAGTGGCAGAGGACATTAACAGAATGATGATAAACTGTCTTAAGAATAGACTTTATAAGAACCCTGATACGACTTAACACCCCCACACATTTCCACTCTTTAAATCACTGCCAAACATATTAAGGAGTTTATTCATGGTGAGATCAAGACTCAAGAAGAAATGAAAAAATATAACATCTGGGGCTGGGGTTGTAGCTCAGTGGTAGAGTGCTCGCCTAGCATGCATAAGGCACTGGGTTCGATCCTCAGCACCACATAAAAGCAAAATAATGTGTCCACCTAAAAACTAAAGATAAATAAATAAATGTTTAAAAAAAAAAAGAAAGAAAGAAAAAATATAACATCTGACCCACTCATTTTTTGGTTTTGGGGCACTCCATGGTATCCAACTATAGTTCATTTGCTAGTCATTTGTTCTTCTAGTGGTTTTGCAATGACTCAGCCACTGAATTTAGAAACTGTTCTTCTATGTTTTCCTTTTTTTTTTTTTTAAGTACTGGGGATCGAACCCAAAGGTGCTTTACCACTGAGCTACATCCCTAGTCTTCTTTTTTTTAAATTTTGAGATGAGGATCCAGTGAAGTTGTCCAGTCTGGCTTCAAACTTGCAATCCTCCTGCCCCAGCCTCCCATGTTGCTGGGATTACAGGTGTGCACCAACAGGCCTGGCCCATGTTAAGTGGGGAATGTATTTATCTTATACTTTTATTCATTTTATTCTGTGAGAATTCACAGACAAATGCTGTTGTAACTAATGTGTATTTCCTGGATAACAACAGTTTCTGGCCCATGGCTTTCTGTGATCATGAAAAGAGCGGAAGGTAGAGAAAGCAACCAGGGGCTAGGTCTTCAAAGGGGGTTGGCTAAGTATGGCTGACATCTTAACCTGCAGCCATAAGCAGCGGGGGGGACAGACCGCCTCACAGGATTGGGTTTACAGAGTACACGTCAGAGTGTTCTGGATGAAACAGCTCTAGAAATTGGGGAGCTGAGCAGTGCCCCAACACAGGGAAGCCCAGCTTTCGAGGCATCACCAGGTGGGCAGACTGCGGTGTAGACTGGTCTGAAGGAAGGTGAACCTGGTCCTAATTGGAAATGGAGCAGAACAGATCCAAAGTCTCTCATAGAAAGTAAATTCGTAGGACTGGGGATGCAGCTTAGCAACAGGTGGTTGCCTAGCAAGTGTGACTCTATGGGTTCCATCCCCAGCACCACACACCCACAAAAGTGATAAAAAGTAAAAGTAATTTATATTGAAAATGTCAATATACATATATGAATCAGTCTCCCCTGCCAATCTGAACACTGTCCTTTCATGTGATCTATGTTTTCTCCTGTTAATCATCACATATAAACAGTTTCACCTTTTAATTTTTAATTTTTTTTTTTTTTTTAGCAGTACTAGGGATGGGACATGGAACCCAGGGTCTTGTGCTTGCTAAGAAAGCACTCTTCCACCGAGCTACATGCCTGACCCTTTTTATTTTACTTATGAGACAGGATCTGGCTGAGTTTCCTGAGATTACAGGCAGGTGCCACTATGCCCTAAACAGCTTCATTTTAAAACAATTCCAATGGAAAGCTCCCATACTACTGGTTTCTTTAATTAGTTCAGGCAGTTTTTTTTTTTTTTTAATTGTATGTAAAACTTAAGTTCCTGCTTGTTGTAAACATTTTTTGAATGTTTTTAAGAAAGAGCTGGATGGGGTGTTGCAAGCCAGTAATCCCAGCAGCTGGGGAGGCTGAGGCAGGAGAGTGCAAAGCTGGCCTCAGTAACTTAGTGAGTCCCTGAGCAACTCAGCAAGACCCTGTCTCTAAATAAAATATTAAAAAGAGCTGGAGATGTGGCACAGTAGTTAAGTACCCTGGGTTCAATACATGGTACCACAAAAATTTAAGAAAGACATGTTAACTGAAAACTTAGTCATGGATAATGTACAAATGAGTGCTTTTCTTAAGACCTACTGTTTGAAAATAGGAAACATGAACTAGCACCAGTGGAAGCACGATTTCCTTGCCTTTCAAAGATAACAAAGAACGTGAAGTTACCAACCATCTATCAGAATAAGGCTGCTCCAGCTGGGGCTTCGGGAGTTTCGTCTCTCTCTCTCTAATGACTTGATTGAGGACGTCCAGGTTGGAAAGGTTTGCATATGGCTGGGCAGCATTATCAAAAAGCTCCCAAAGGGTCACACCCAGTGACCTGCGGGAAGAAGAACATGGCTTTCTCCCTTTAAATGTCAAAATTTTAACACCCACATTTTTATTTGAATAGACAGCAGTTTTTAAGGACAAGGTATATACTGAAGAGGTTAATAATAATAAGATAATTAACATTATAAACTCTCAAAACAATAATCCACATCCACAAGTAATAGCAAAAAGAGAGGCATTTTCATTAAAACGAGGAGGACAAGACTGTCTTCTCACATTTAGGCATTTCTACTCTAGAAGTTTTATCGAATGCCAAAAAAATATGAAGAAGATAACAGAGATAGAGGTGAGGTAATATGAGTGTTAACTTTAAAAACCCAAGAAATTAGTTGAAAGACCATTAGGATGTTTTAAGAGTGGGCTGGAGTTGTGGCTCAGTGGTAGAGCAATTGCCTTGTAAGTGTGAGGCACTGGGTTTGATCCTAGCACCACATAAAAACAAATAAAGGCATTAAGTCCATATACAACTAAAAAAAAAAAAAAAAGAATGCTTAAGAGATCTACAAAATGGTTGTAGACTAAATAAATAACTGAATTCTGGGGTAGGAAAAAAATTCCATATTCACGACAGCTGTGAACACCAGAAAATATCATCCCCTACACCCAGTACAAAAAAATATGTACATTTTAGTTGTAGTTGGACACAATACCTTTATTTTATTTATTTATTTTTATGTGATGCTGAGGATCAAACCCAGCACCTTGCAAGTGCTAGGCGAGCGCTCTACCACTGAGTTACAAGCCCAGCCTCAGACAGTTTGACTAACAAACTGTATTGAGTAAATAGATTATTTAATGTGTGCAATAAACTTTAAATTTAAATCAGCATACTGAGTATCTTAGTTGAGAAATCATCTCTATCAATGGAAACAAAATGATCTGAACCTCCTGATACAACCCAGAAGGCAAGAAGTACTTTCTCTTCTTTGGCACATGTTAGGGGTAGATGACCATTCTTTTTGTACAAAAGAATTTTAGGACACTGTTAGTGACTTTAGAGAGTTTACAATTTAATTGAAGAAAATAAGAATTCAGGGCTGGGGATGTGGCTCAAGCGGTAGCGCGCTCGCCTGGCATGCGTGCGGCCTGGGTTCGATCCTCAGCACCACATACAAGATGTTGTGTCCTCCGAAAACTAAAAATATTAAAAAAAAAAAAAAAAAAAAAGAAAAAGAAAATAAGAATTCAGCCGGGTGTGGTGGCACAACTCTGTAATCCCAACAGCTCAAAAGGCTGAGGCAGGAGGATCGTGAGTTCAAAGCCAGCCTTGGCAAAAGTGAGGTGCCAAGCAACTCAGTAAGACCCTTTCTCTAAATAAAATACAAAATGTGGGGTGTGTGTGTGTGTGTAGGGGGGTTGTAGCTCAGCTGGTAGTGTGTTTGCCTAGCATGTGTGAGGCACTGAGTTCACTCCTCAGCACCTCATAAAAATAAATAAAATAAAGGTATGGTGTCCATCTACGACTACAACAAATGCTTTTTAAAAAAATAACAAAATAGGGCTGGGGATGTGGCTCAGTGGTTGAATGTCCCTGAGTTCAATCCCCGGTACCCCCTGGCCCCCCAAAAGAAAATAAGAATTCACATGAAATACTAAAACCAAACAGGCTTTGTATGATTAATGAAAAATGAGTTTATTACCACCAAGCCTGGTTTGACCTTGGCCAAATCTGTCTACCTGTCTCAATTTCCCCAGATTCCTAACTTACCTCCCTTCCGTCTCCTAAAAAGGCCCATTCTAAACCAAATCCCTTTCAGGCCACAACCACCCCCTATTTGTCAGCAGCCATGACGCACAGCTTCCCAGCTTCTTAGTAGGAGCAACTTGCATTTTTCTAAGAAGAAAGAAGTCCTGTAGCCCCGCCCCCATCTCTGCATGAAGTCTTTCCTGGTCACCCTGGCATGAACTAGGGCCAGGTCTGTCTTAGGAAATGTTGGCTATGTTTTCAGGTAAATCATCCTGCTAAGGGCAGTAAAAACCTGGATGAAGCATAAAAAGCATCTTTTTAAAGGCACAGGTGCATAAGAATGTAGAAATTACCAGGACAAAATGTAGAACTTAAAGAACTAAGTAGAACAGAAGATCACCTTTGCCTTGGGGCATCTATTGAAGCTCTAGGTTTCTGTTTGTAGTTCCTGAGATGTGATGGAGTGACAATGGTAAACAGGTCAAAGCCCTGAGCCTGCCCAATGTATAGGGTCTTAAAGAGTGACTTCCTCATGGCAGAAATAACCTTGTCTCTACAAGGCAAGCTGCCAAGGCAATGAGGGAAGGAGAGGAAGAGAATAAATGTGTGTGTGTAAGGAGTGGGAGCTAAGAGTAACCACAGAGCTCACCTTTATCTAGACGTGCAGCCTAAATTCACATCATCTGAGTGATCTAAAAAACCTCAAGCTATATATGGAAAGCCCTGGCTGGCAGCACCCTGTACATGGCAGAACACCCAGGTGCCCAGCAGAAGCAAACACAGGTCCTCTCTAGAGGAATATGCTTCATTCTAGATTTCTAAGGATCATCACCATAAAAAAGCCCCAGAGGAAACAAGGTACCAACAAGAACCAGTAGGACCAGCTGGGTATGGTGGTGCACTCCTGTAATCCCAGCAACTTGGGAGGCTAAGCCAGGAGGATCGCCAAGTCAAAACCAGCTTCAGCAACTTAGTAAGGCCCTTAATAAGACCCTGTCTCAAAAAATATAGGGCTTGCAGTGTAGCTCAGTGGTAGAATACCCGTAGATGCAATCCCTGGTACTGCAAAAATAAATTAAAATCACATATTACATGATAGTCCAATGCCTTTGGGTTTTTACAACAAATATTCATTCAACATTTACTATATACCAGGCCCTGTGGTAGGGCACAGAATATAAAACAGACTTGGTTCCTGCTGTCATGGAGGAAAATGGGTAAGAGAGGCAGTACTGGAAAAGCTAATTATATTGTCACAATTGTGATAATTGCTATGATGTCACTGAGTTGCCTTTTCTACACCACCAGGTACTCTTTGTTTTCTCCATTTTAAACAAATACTGTCACACTTAAAGAGGAGGAAATGGGTCCTTGTTTAAAAAAGCCTAAGAAGTGGTAAAACAGATACATACCAGATATTACTGTACTTAGTCTGCTCTGCAGTCAGCAGTCTGTCTTGAAAGCTGGTTACTAATTCTGGAGCAGTCCATCGCAGAGGGAAAACTTTTTTATCATCTGTCTCGATATAATCCTCCTGTGTTGTTAGAAAGCATACAGAGTTTTCAAAAGAATTATACCTGTTCATGAGCTCAATGATTTAATTCCAGGACATTCTCAGAAAACTCATACCCAGCTCAAAACATTATCAGAATAGAAGTGGGCAAGAAGAAAGACATTGGGAGTGGAGGGAAGGGAGAGGAGTTTCTCTGAAGCCTCCCAGGCTTCCTGAGCTGGTTTCTGAGTCATGAATGCTCACCTCCATCTCCCTTCCTAGAAAAGGAAGGAACATCGTGTCTCCTGCAGCAACACGGACCCTGAACAGAGCTCCTTTCCCCACAGGCTGGGCTTCCACACTCAAGGGAATGTGCCATTAATGAGCAAGAGCTTGGGCCTCAAAGCCCGACAAATGGTTGCGTGTCCTCATTCTGCCAGTTACCGTGATGTGGTTCTCAGAAAGTAGCAATGTGAGAAGGCTTTCTCCTTATTTTTAAAATGGGGATCACACAAACCTACCTACCGACCTTTGTGACTACATGGCAATGCTCACAACTACTTCACAGTGCATGGTATACAGGAAGCACTCGAGACATCACAGTCACTACGAAAATTGTGACAAATAACCAACTTATATTTGCATAACTCATTCTGCAAACATTACCACTCCATTCCACACATAAACCCCGTTAAGACTGAGTAGGTATTATCCTCATGTTGCTGCTTGGAAAGTAAAGGTCAAGTGGCACAGGCGGGGTCTCCTGACAGCATGGAGCTGGGACAACCTCAATCGGCTGGGCTACACACACACACACACACACACATATACACACACTAAATGAAACTCTCAGCTACCTATTTGCTATTTTCTTCAGGGATATGTTTATGGTAGTGTATAAAAATCAAAACCCAAGGTTGCTGAATTTGAGCCAAAATTTTACTGATTTGTGTAATGGAGAAGTATCTATTTGACATGTGCATTCTGTTATGTAAGTCATAACTGTTGCTTACATGTTCATTTTAAAATCTGTTTCATATCAGACTATATATCAATTATGAGCAGCATAACTCTTTTTAAACAAAGTATTTGGAAAGTTGTCACAGAACCTTGGGCACAGACAGTGCTGTAGACCAATCACACACTGGCAGCGATACTCCCATTATGATGAGCAGAACACACCCCACTCCAGAGACGCACCACAACCAAGACTCTCACCCACTCTTCCAAGAGCTGAGAGCAAGGAGGCAACATTTAACACAGGGCTTACCTTGTATCTGCTGAATCCTATTCCATAATCTCCCACTTTCACGTTTAAGTCCGAGGTTAGGAAGCAATTCCGCAGGGCTAAGTCACTGCAAACAGAAAGTACAGTGGACACAAAAACAAGGAGAATCAAAAACCAGGATAATGATACTCAAAAAAATCACCAATGGACAAAAGGTTTTCTTTAGAAATCAGAGTAGGACTACATACCATATTTCTAATCACTTAGTGGAGAGGTCACATATGTGGCCAGTAACTAACTATGACTGGTAAGACTAACTTCCTAATCACCTCTGTACCATGTTCTGCACTGAAACCACATTTATGGCTTATTCCCTAGTGTTTTAAATGAGACCAAAAGAGAATTCTAAAATAGCTGAATTCCCTGAAGAAAATTTTTTATACCTGTATTGAATCTAGTAAGTCTGCTCATTATAAAGATTAATAAAGTTACCACTTTAAGCACCCAGAAATAATCTACATTATTAAAAATATTTCATTCCCCCCTCGTTATGCAAACATTTCGTATGAGGCCCTTTCCAAATCACTCTCTCATCTATTCTGAACTCTACCTCTCTACACGGGAATAAAGAACATACTTTCAAGACCTATTTAAAATAATACACTTAGGGCTGGGGTGGTGGCTCAGCGGTAGCGTGCTTGCCTAGCATGCGTGAGGCACTGGGTTCTCAGCACCACATACAAATAAATAAAAATAAAAGTCCATCAACAACTAAAAACTGTTAAAAATAAAATAATACACTTATATAATTTATTTTTAGAATAAGCTAATTTTCAAAAACATACTTTGACAAGTAAAAATTACTTTTTCTAAAGGAACTTCCCTCACAGACATCAGGTTAAATTTTCTGGATTTTTGGCTTTAGACCTTAGAAAATATCTATACACACTCATACATGTATGACTGTATCTACAGATATATGTATATATACAGACATAGACATACGTATGTATGGGCAGGGAGGGAGGGAAGAAGGAGCAGCATGCCATTTGAAGGCAGAAAACTGAAAATGCAGAAGTTAAGCTTTATCTGTGGGACCAACAATGGCAATGGGACAGCACTGTGGGCTGTGACAACAGAACGGAAGGCTAGTTGCCGAGCACTACTAACCAACACCTTTAAGGGTCCCTCCAACCTGATCCCACTAAACCTTCCCCAAATCTCCAAGACAAGGAGTAAAATCTGGACACCCGCACCCCAACAGAGGTGTGGGTGTCCCCTATAGATGGGGTCACTTCAGAGCTCAGGGCCATTCAGACACCTCCAGGGCCACAGGATGACTGTGCCCCCCACCCCATTCTCCTGTCTCTCCTGACAGATGTTCAGTGTAGGTCTCAGGTAATAGCAAGCATGAAGGTCAGACAAGATGACCAATCAATCACACAGGCAGCGGCCTCTGGCTCTTACTCTAAAAGACACTATAAGATTTGAATGCAGCCCAGCTGACATTCCCAGGGCAGAGAGGAATGCTTTCCTTTACCTGAAACCCAGAGGCAATGGGAAGAAACAGGCCTGCTGCTCCCCACCTCCACCCCAGCGCTGCCTGCAGCTTGGCACAGCAGGAAGAGTCCCTCACGTGCTGCCGCACTCTTCCAGAACCATGTGACGCTGTGTAGCAGACTTGGTTTTCTCACAGGACAACTGGGGTGCTGGAAATGGCTAACTCACAAGGTCGTTAAGGGGCAAAATAAAAATGAACATGGCTATCTTGAAAATGCTTATGACTTGGTTCAAAACTGGTAACAATACATACTCCCTAAAGTTCAATAATGTGCAAGGCTACAGAACAGAAAAACAGCAGGTGCCACAGCAGGGGGACCCTGACGTCAATGGCTGCTCCTGTCAGGAAATACAAACACACAGCCAGTATATTCTCCCTCAAGTTGAAAAACAGGTCTAGTGACGAGACTACTGGAGTCCCAGCCCTGAACGGCTCTCAGAAGGCTCTGACTGGTAACTCCATTTGGCAGCACTTGCACTGGCTCAGCTGACAACGACCAACTGCATGGGTCTTAAGGCCCTATAAAGGGAACAGGAAAGTCTTGAGCAGGAGGCAGGAAGCTTCAGGACAAAAGGTTTCCAGCCGTTTCATATGAAGTACTGCCACTGGTTTTTAACTCCTGCAACTACAGACCTGCCCTGGGTCTGCAGACCCATTTTGGGAGACAGTCTCCAATGCAAAACGTAGCAGGAACTGTTTCCAAAACAACATGCGTCACCTGTGCATACGTGACCCAGGGTAACTGGAATTCTTCATAAAGGGAGTAACAATAGGAAGCCTAATGTTTACTAAATATTCTTCTAGAACCTTAACATACATTACCTTATTTAATCTTAACAATACTTTCAGGTAAACAGGATAAATAAATAAATTTGTAGGAAAAAATAATCTCATGAGGATTAAGCAAGAAGGCTTATGCTAGTGAGGCTGAAGAGAGGTGTATCTCAGCTCCCCACACCATCCGCCCCAGAGCCCCAAACAAGGCTCAGGTCTTAAGAGCCTCCATGCACTGCTCTAAGATGGGACGCAGAGGTGCCAGCAGAAGACTAAATCAAGGGGATTCTGGGGGAGGCAAAAGAGACCTTCCTGGAGCTTTGGATCCTCGAGAGATTGACCAGGTCAATCCCCACTAGGTGAGCAAAGCTACATTTACCCAGTGCTTACTGCCTAATCAGGCAGCCGCTAGACTCTGGGTACCCAGAGTGGGAAATTCTGACCAGACCCCGAGGAAAGTGCCTATGGCTGGAACGGGCACACCACTGCCAGCCAGGTTTTGAGGGCAGGTGACAAAATAAGATAAGGCCCCCAATGCAGGTTTTCTCCAGGGTTGGTAGGTGCACATTGGACATCCAGATCTATATAGGTCTCAACTGGCTCTGGCTTGTTGGCCCCTATACACAACTGCAAAACTGGACACAATACATAAGGAAGCAGTTTTCAGGTACTGGACAACAGCCCATCTAAGGGTTTAACGCCAGAGAAGGGTGGGCTCCATACTCCCTCACTTTGCTCAGGGACACCCAGCACACTCTGGCTCAGAGATGGAGCCTAGAAAGCGAAGCCTCCTGGTGGACACAGGAGTGGCTGGAGGCTGCTAAGAGGCTGAACTTGAGGGAGGGAACAGGAGAAGCTGCTCCACAACATCTAAGACCAAGACCAACCTAAGCTGCCAAGTGGCCACCTTCCGAGACAAGTCTATGCACTTTTCAGAGGGGTAGCTCTCGCACTGCAGTGTGTGCCAGAACCACCTGAGCTCCTAGATGGGTGCAGTGGCCACTCCTGCAATCCCAGAGACTCAGGAGGCTGAGGCAGGAGGATCCCAAATTATAGGCTAGCCTCAGCAACTCAGTGAGACCCTGTCTTAAAATGAAAAATAAAAAGGACTAGGGATATAGCTCGGTGGTAAAGCACCCCTGGGTTTAATCCCTAGTAATCATCTCCCCCCCAAAAAAGTATCACTTGGAGGCTCCTTAAAATAAAAGGCAGTAAGCTGGGGGGCAGGGGCAGAGACTGTGTCTGTCTAACAAGTAGGGTTCAGACTCTCACACCCAGGACCTGCACCATAACCAGACAGGTTCGCAAGTGAAGGGGTGAGATGCCAAACAAAATGCAATTCCATTTACCAAAACAACTATCAGACAACCTCCCCAAATCCAAGTCTAGACTAGAAGCTGCATCAGACCAGGATCAAAGAGAGCCGGCACATTTTATGTGTGCACATTTTAATCAGTGCTCAAACTACTGGTTAAAAAAGGCAGCTAGCGTATTTACCACAGATCCCAGAATGTTGATTCTCCCAGGGTGCCCGGGCTCACCTAGGACAACAGAGCATTTGGGTATGACTCAAGATGAGTAGCTGGCCACCATCTGACAATGCTTGCCTTGGTGTTGCACATGCTGAGCCTGTGGTATGCTTCTCCTCCCAGAACACACCAACATAGCTCCCTCATCTACAGCTCTGCCTTCAGGATCCTCTTATGCACACACACACACATTCTGCACTACTGGGTAGTGGAGATGCTAGGCTCTTTCTGCATCTTCCTGAAGTATAATCTTTTTTAAAACAATGCCTTTCTCCATCCCTTCCATGTACCTTGTATTAACAAATTGGCATGGGGGTCACTAGAAGATGATACTTGAATCAAGGCCTGAATAAACTGCTGAAAGAAGGAAAAAAAAAAAAAAAACCAATTGGCATATGCAAACCACTCCACCACCCAAATAGATATTTTTTGGTAATAGGGATGGAACCCAGGGCACTGTACCTGTGAGTTATATCCCAAGCTTTTTCGTTTTATTTTGAGTCAGGTCTTGCTAAGTTGCCCAGGCTGGCAACTTTGAGCCTCCTGTCTCAATCTCACTGGGGGTTATAGGCACGCATCACTTCACCTGACTCTTTATATTTCCCTATTTTTATACATAACACGCATGCACACATACATAGATACACAAACGGGATTAAGGAGCATTTGCCTTACAGAAACACAATTTTATGCCTACTAATCTACATCTTCTTATAACATGAAAATTCCTAAGTTGACCAGTCTAGCAATTCTAAATCTTTCTTTATAATAGCTGTATAATAATCCACAATGCAGACATTTATTCTTGTTCCTCCGTGAACACTTAGTTTTCCTTTTGTTCTGTTTATAACCCCTTTAAATAATGCTGCAATAGTTATTTCTAACACATATTTTGAAGTTTTAGTGCTATCCCATTTTCTATGGGATAGTCTAGGCGTGGAATTAAAGGGAATATGTATTTTTAATTATATAGATATTGCCCCATGGCTTTTCAAAAAATGTAATAATATACATGTAACACAAAACAAAAACTCTTTTTTCATCTGCCTACCAGCAACAGATGCAGCTAGTCCTTTAGTTGCTCAGTCTTAGGTATAGTAGCCCTTGAGCTGCTATCTGCACTGCAGATCCATCTTCCCAACTCTATTGCCTGTTGGTTTTATTTATGGTTATCTGTTGTTGTACAAATTGTTTTAATTTTATAGTCAACTATATGCACCTTTTATTTCATAACTCTTAGGTTTCCCATCTTAATTCAGAAGA